TCTATCACTTAGGTATGACTCAAACCACTTTAGAGCTATTCCCCGGATGCCGTAGTGCTGTAATTTATTTAGCAGTGTAGCATGATCCAGGACGTCAAACGCTTTACTGTAATCTAATAATAGCAGTAGTGAAATTTGGTTTTTGCTAAGAGATTGTAAAATTGTACTTTGTGCATTAAGAAGAGCATGTTCACAGGACCTTCCTGGACGGAACCCATACTGATTTTCGAATAAAGAACTATTTTTGTTGAGAAATTCTAAGACACGTCGGTGCATCAGTTTTTCGTAGATTTTTGAGAAGGAACCTAAGAGAGAGATGGGTCTATAATTTTCAACGTCAAGTTTAGAGCCTCCTTTATGGATGGGAGTTACTTTGGCAATTTTAAGGGCCTGTGGAAATATGCCTGTACTTAAGGATTCGTTGATAACTTTTGCTAATATAGCAAGGAAACTATCGCTGGAACTGGCTACTTTTAGTGGTTCAATTTTTGTGTCAAGGGTCGCTTTGTTCTTCAAACCAATAATAATTCTTTGAATTTCGATCGTTTCAGCAGGCTGGAGATAGATTGATTGAGAACAGGATGTGGGCAGATATTCCTGGAACCCCCCAGGGTCAAAGGTCTGACGGGCACTTATCTGAGTTTTGATGTTCGTAGCAATGTTCGAGAAATAGTCATTAAACCTTTCAGCCACGGTATCTTCAGAACTCAAAATCGACCCGTCCGAACCTTTAAGTCTTAACTGCTCTGTTTTCCTGCTTCTACCAAGTAAACCGTTGATTATTTGCCATTGTTTTTTGGAGCAGTCCTGGTATTTTTCGAATTGTTTTTTATAGTATCGTTGTTTGGCAATGTTGACATGTTTTTTACAGAAAAGTTTTAGCTTTTTATAGGCCTCTATATTATTCATTGTAGGTTCAAGTACTTTACTATGATAACTTTCTTGTTTCCGCGCACATGCTTCTTCAAGCCAGGGTAATATCCAGGGTTTAGTATTAGAACGCTCATGTTCACGGCGAATATGATTGATTTTTAGTGGATAGGCAGTGTTATAGTGCTTGGTGTATATATCTGCAAGTTTTCCGTATTGCAGACTAGCGTCGTCTGTACTTAATATCTCGTCCCACGTTTCCCCATCGATGAGTTCCCTAAAAGCAGCATTGTTGGCTTCATTTATGACACGTGTTTCATAACTAAGTTTAGGTTGTGTGTTAGTGGGTAGCCTGAGATGTTGTTGCGAAGAGTTACTTAGTTTAAAAGTGGTAACGATAGCAAGATGATCCGATAAATCCACCGTTACAACGTTACTGCTTACTGTGTTATTTATATTATTTGTGTAGACATGATCAATTAAGGTAGCACTATGATCGGTGACTCGTGTCGGCCTTGAAACCGTCTGAACAAATCCATAACAACTATATAAACTTGAATTTAAATTGATAAACAATTACTAAATAACACATTTAAAATTGTGTGATGTTTACAATTTATAAAATTTGTTGTGTTGTCATTTAAATGTTTAAAAAAAGTTCAAATATAATTATACATGAATTGATTGCCATATCCTTCAACATCATCACTCAAAAGCTAAAACGAGCTTTTAGGTCTGCTAGATTTGTTAATAGTTTATTTGTTATTGTAGTTTTTATGTTGTATGCAAATATTTGCTCTAACCAGAGCCCTCTCGCTTGCAGTAGCGACTCATGGCAATACACATTTTACGGATGGAATGATTGCAGGGGGACTCCCAACCCACTGCTTCGGCGGGTTACACTCCATCCATAATATAATCAACTGATGGGAGAAGTGCTTTAATTTCATTTTGCACGAAAAATCTCCCAGTACAGTAGGATGTATTCTGTGTGACATCTTCTCAATAATTTGGACTCGATGGTAGACAACCCTCGGGATGTCGCAGTCCATAATAATACAAGGCTGAATCCAAAAAACTGAACTTAATCCAGAATATATGTTCAGTTATAAGCTTGATCAATGGATCAGAGGGATCCCATTAGACCTCAGCCAAGTAGGTGGACGTAACATTCTCCCTTAGCCCTTAGTTATTGAGTTAGAGCCACCGACCAACAATCATATAATAGAGTGTACTTTACAATAATAATAATACATTAATGTTATCTTTATACAACACCCAAAAGGTTAAATAATTTAAATTTAATCCTTATGCTCAGCTGTAAATGACACTATGTATGTACTACGATTAACAGTAAATTGCATGTCAATGATTTCCCAATCAAATATTTCCCAAACATTCGGCCAAGCCGACTGCAGCATAAAAATTAGAAGTCCAGAGAGCACCCATAAAATATTCTTAATGTCTTACACAAATCGGACGTTTTTTCTTTGATCAGACTCCTTTTACATTTAAGAGTTATTTGAAGTAAAGTAAAAAGAGAGGAGCTCCTCAAATTCTGTGTCCTCATCTCTTCTTTTCTTTATGTTGCATGTCTTTCTTAAAGTTAACAAGTTAAGGGGGCAGGGGGGGGTCTTTATGAAATTTCTCTCGAAATTGATTTTATAGTTGTTTCTGATAGAGGGGAGTGATATCTATATGCTGATTTTGGTCCAAAAGCAGCAGATAGATATTACTCCCCTCTATCAGAAACAACTATAAAATCAATTTCGAGAGAAATTTCATAAAGACCCCCCCTGCCCCCTTAATAGTAGTGAAACAAATTTTTAGTGAAACAAATTTAAAATTTTATCCTTTATTTTACAATCATAATATAATAATATTTATAAGCCTCCGTTTTGAAAGTTTTAAATTTTAATACATTCACAATTCTATTTAAAATTCAATTTTATGTACAAGTCAATAACTGGCCGCCAAAGCCGCGCATTCTTGAAAACAGGATTAACTTGATTATAGTTATACGACTATGTAAATTTAAAACTATCCGTGGTTTTTTCTTTTAAATAAATAAATTATAATTTTACCTAAGTCAACTTTAAATCGTCAACTTTAAATATTTACAATGCAACAATTCATTAATTTGTAAACACGCGTACTCCAGCCCCTAAACGCATAAATTGTTATGCGGCGCGGCTCAAGCCGCGCACGCACGTATTATTTTATACTGTTTGCTTTCTAATAAATATCGTGCCAATGTGTACGTCTAAATTGTAAACGTTCATGTTTTGTGCAGAGTGAATCCAATTGGGACTAGTGACAAGGATAAGGACCCAAGTGCCTGTGCGGCTTTTTCGGGCCCCTGTGGACCACTACTCTTGAAATCACTCTACAACATTGAACATCTATATCTACTACGTCATTTGGCAATTGTTGTCATTAATCTAACTTTCTAATTAATTGCCGAGGGGGAAGAGTAAACGCTTCACATTAAAATTCAATATACAAAATTCAAAACCATCAATACGGTATTAAATATTATGGACAAGTCTATAGATCTATTTCGTAGTCATATATTCACATGATTTGCTTTATATTATCTTAATACTGTAATGAAGTACAGTAGGATTTGTGTTTCGAGAAAGAAAGGTTGCGGTCAAATTATTAACAAAAGTAAACAAAAGTCCATCAGGGACTACGTGGAGTCGAAAAAGGTACACGGCTGCTGTCTGGTGCTGCTAGGCATTTATTGATCAAGATGTTTTATTGTATTGATTTATAATGATTCTATTGTTCGTGACTAATCAAGTTCTAAGTGGAGGTATAAAGTGCTGCTCAAGATACTTCGTCATCTCATGTCCAGTATAATGATTAAGATAGTATACAATGCAATGTAAGAATATAGTTCCGTGTCAGGGTAGATAAATAGATTTTTAGATAAATAAGTCACGGGAGAGGAAAAGAATAAAACTTCTATGTACATTTCTTAGTTCAAGGTTCACCAAATTGTTTAAATTTAGCTATTTTTATTTTTTTAAATAGCTGCAAGGAATTTGATCTGTCCAATATCGATTAATTTATGCGTGATACTCAAAATAAATATGCTTTAGTGATCAATAATGGCTAAAAGTAAGTTTGAATATGTTCGACTGTACGAGCTGGATGATAAACTGTTAAAAAACGTGTGGATGGTTGTGAGAGTTGATGGAAAAGGATTTCACAAGTTCACCAACGACCACAACTTTGAGAAACCCAACGACTTGGCTGCTCTGAACTTAATGAACGATGCTGCTAAAGGGGTTATGTCAGAGCTACAAGACATTTTCATGGCATATGGACAAAGTGATGAATACAGTTTCATTTTCAAACGGTCCTCAACGCTGTATGGACGTCGGAGCAGCAAGATTCTATCTACAGTTTGTTCCATGTTCACATCACATTATTTGTTTAATTGGAGCAAGCATTTCAATGATCCATTGTTGTATCCCCCTAGTTTTGATGCTCGGGTTGTTCTTTATCCAACAGTAAGAGATGTTAGGAACTATTTCAATTGGAGGCAAGCGGATTGTCACATCAATAATTTATACAACACTTGCTTTTGGGCACTTGTTCAAGACGGTAATTTGTCTAACTCTGAGGCTGAGAAGCGTCTTAAAGGCACATTTTCTGCAGATAAAAATGAAATACTTTTTGCAAAGTTTGGAGTAAATTACAATGAACTTTCTGAAATTTACAGAAAGGGATCAACTATAATTTGGAATGAGAATAAAAGTGAAGATGGTAGAAAGAGAAAAGTTTTGAAGTTGTTGACTTGTGATATTATTGGAGATTCTTTTTGGGAAGATCATGCTTCATATCTTGATACTTCTATTACTGATTAGATCTTTAATCATTAGTGATATTTTAGGTTGTCTAATGTATTGAATTATTAAGATATGTAATCTTTTAAGAAAGGCCAGGGTTTAATCGTTTTATTGCTATTAATTCCTTTGGAATATCAATTATTAGTGGTGTTAAGATTTTATGACGTAGCATAGTTAATGAAAATATTAATAAGTATTGGGTTCCCAAAGCAGTAGTATCTGTTTAAATTAAATTTCCGCCACAGATTTTCATCTAGAAAATCTAGAATACTCAGCTCTATTTATTCATTTTTAACAGAAAATTTAAAGAACACTTAATTTACAGAAATCGAGAGTTTCTCTGTCGACTAAATCACAATAATCCTGAGTTTTAAACCTCCAACCCAGCAGCTGTAACCTAGCAACTGTAACCTAGCAACTGTAACCCAGCAGCTGTAACCTAGCAACTGTAACCTAGCAACTGTAACCCAGCAGCTGTAACCTAGCAACTGTAACCTAGCAGCTGTAACCTAGCAACTGTAACCTAGCAACTGTAACCCAGCAGCTCATGACCTCCCAAGTATTACTACACCCGGATGATGACTTGACCCAGGACGATGAGCAGATCTGGAGCTCACTCATTGACCAGGTCAAGGTCGGGGATACTCCTCGCAAATCTCAGGAGCTCGAGGTGTGTGTAATTATAATTCTATTGCATACTATAATTATATTGCATACTATAATCATATTGCATATTATAATTATATTTTTAATCATATATATTGGACATGTGCATTGTTCATTGTGTGAACGTGAAGCATTTTTATCTTTGATTCTCTGGTTTGATTGGTCAATTGTATATGCTGATTGGTTAATTGCTGTCACGTGTCAAAAAAGATAATCTGGATCTACTGGTGTATATCAATATTTTGAAGGTAGCCCCAAAGCCTACCTTTTGTGTAAAGACCAAGGACAAAGAAGGAAACAAAGTTTTCATCAACATTTGCACCACCGACTCTATTCCAGAGCCCAAGTGAGCTTTTAACTTACACACATTATACACATAATACATATTATATACACATTACATAATATTACACATATTTACAGGTTAATACCTGTGAAAAATAAAACCATTGATCAGAATGAATTAATGGCGGAGAGGCCCTGTTTTAACTTTTATATGAGCGTTTTCTGTACTCAGCTTTAAATTGGAGCAATATTGTCTCTTCTGTAGCATTATGATCGACGATCGTTACTTTTACTTGCTCTACTTATTAATAGTATCAGTGATCGTTACTTAAATCAAAATAGCAATTTTATTTTACGAAATATCGATTTATGTTTCACAGTGTCACAAAATATCGGCACTGAACAGAAAGTTGTCTCAGGAAGAAAACTGTAGACGATTTGGTAAAGATGTTGGATAGTGAAGAGGAAATGTTAGCGGCTGACTACAGAATACCAATGAGCATTGGGGAGACTCCGCATGCAGAGGTTTAGTTCCCCCTTTAAAGAATATTTTAATTTCTTTCTAATTAACAGAAAGTACTCTATTAACAGTTCTTGACTGATTTGAATCTCCTGCACAGCAGATCGAAGCATCTCTAAATTATTTACTATTATTATTGTATTGCTGTGTAAATTTGATTCTAATTCTAATTCTAATTCTAATTGTAATAAATTATTTTGGAAATTGAAATTGAAATCTGATTTATTCATTACAATTGTCACAATTACTAATTAAAATAAAAATTAATGTTTCTTCAGGTGGACAAGAAAGGCCAGGGTTGCAGTGTGCACGATATAGCTATAAACCCTAACTACGTAAAAACCATCAAGGAGGAACCAGCCTTTATGAACTTCTTCCTTCAAGTTGTATTTGAAGGTCTTACTGCTAAGTTTAATGTAAGATCAAAGTTTTTAATGCAGCTATAGCTTTTCTCTGGATTAATAATATTCCACTTCAATATAATAATGGTCTGTTTACGGTTTGAAAGTTTAAAGCCAAAAATTCCTAATTTGTTAGTTAACAACTGATTTCTTGCGATTTAATTTTTTTAAAGCAAGTAATAATAGCTGTTGACCTTATTTACTTCCCACAGATTGAACTCGAATGGGACTGGTTGATACTGAAGAACCGAACGCACGTGGGCCGTGTTAAACCGCACATGATCAGAACCTACCGTAAACCAGTTATACAGGAGATGGAGAAGACGGAGAGTACAAGTAAGAGACCTGTCAAGAAAACCAGTAAACACACTCAACCCGCTCCTAAACCCGACTACATCCTCCTTCAGGTTAGTAAAACATACATCCTCCTTCAGGTTAGTAAAACATACATCCTCTTTCAGGTTAGTGAAACATACATCCTCCTTCAGGTTAATAAAACATACATCCTCCTTCAGGTTAGTAAAACATACATCCTCCTTCAGGTTAGGGGTGTTCAGTAAAACATACATCCTTCTTCAGGTTAGGGGTGTTTAGTAAAACATACATCCTCCTTCAGGTTAATAAAACATACATCCTCCTTCAGGTTAGGGGTGTTTAGTAAAACATACATCCTCCTTCAGGTTAGGGGTGTTCAGTAAAACATACATCCTCCTTCAGGTTAGGGGTGTTTAGTAAAACATACATCCTCCTTCAGGTTAGTAAAACATAACCTGAAGGAGGATGGGTGTTCAGTAAAACATACATCCTCCTTCAGGTTAGGGGTGTTTAGTAAAACATACATCCTCCTTCAGGTTAGGGGTGTTTAGTAAAACATACATCCTCCTTCAGGTTAGGGGTGTTTAGTAAAACATACATCCTCCTTCAGGTTAGTAAAACATACATCCTCCTTCAGGTTAGGGGTGTTTAGTAAAACATACATCCTCCTTCAGGTAAGGGGTGTTTAGTAAAACATACATCCTCCTTCAGGTTAGGGGTGTTTAGTAAAACATACATCCTCCTTCAGGTTAGGGGTGTTTAGTAAAACATACATCCTCCTTCAGGTTAGGGGTGTTTAGTAAAACATACATCCTCCTTCAGGTTAGGGGTGTTTAGTAAAACCCCAATTTACCGTGCCCCGATTTAAATCTGCATGTACTTAGATATTGAGACTAACTTTTTCTGTTTTGATCAGGCTAGAATCAGTACACAATATCAAGGGAATCTGTATAATTATTCTGAGGGGTTCTTATTTTTGTTCAAGCCTGATTTTAGCAATTATAAAAGATTACAATTTAAATAATGATACTTTCAGGAGCCGATAGAAGGAACCCCAAACTACCTGATAATAGAAGTGTGGCTACCAGGAATAGAGTCCTCTTCTAAACTAACTCTAGATGTAGGAGAAGACAGACTGACCCTGCATGCTCACCCTGCCAAGTACTTCCTGGACATTGAGCTGCCCTACGATGTGGTTCCCATGGAGAGTGGTGCTCAGTATGATACAGAGGTTCAGCTTCTTACTGTGGCTTTAATGACCACGTGTGCTGTGGAGCTACCCAGCAAGCCTGATAGAGTTATTTCTCTTGATAGAGAGAGGTTCTTACGGGATTTGAACAAGAATGATAATTGAGAAGGGTGTGTGTTACAGGAGATTTTCTCAGCTTTGAAGCATTTTTTACCCGAAGGGTTGACTCAAAGAGTTTTATAACTGTCAAGTATTTGTAAATAGGCGTTGTAACATTTTCAGATATTTATTATTTATCTTTACAGAAAATAAGCCGCTTTTAATCTCATTTCCAAATCGGCACCTGTAACGTTAGCAGCATCTTCGACTACGCATACTATTGAGTTTTTAAAGTTTCCCTCGTGCCCATAGTTGTTCATGCTAGCCCAGATAAACTTCCCGCTCAATTCCAGTTACATCTAATAACATAATTACTAAACCCTAAATGGCTCTGTTTAGTTATATAATCGATTGATGATATTGGTTTAATAATTAACGACTAATTGGCCAATTAATTGATTATTGAATTAATATATAATTAGCCATTTAATCAATCAATTTGCCAATCCATAACGAATCAGACAGGCTATTCGATCAACTGATTGAAATTTTATTTGAATAGAAGATGCACGATGAATCTTTGATTTTTGTAATAATAATAATTGAGAATGCGGATGGGGCAGGATACAACTAATTGGAAAAAATTCTCTGGAATTTTACGACAAAAGGTCTACTAAAATTTATGTTGGAACGCGCCAAGAGACTATTGATGATACCGTTTATTTTGGCGCGCAATTTATTGTTTAACGATATCATCGAGAGTGATCTGACGACGAAATTTTCATTTTAATATTACAAGTATCCAGTTTAAAAGCATCAGTAGTCACATAATATTATTCAAACTACCGATATCACCTAGGATATGGCTCTTGAGAACATCTCCACCCCACGTCTGATGACAGATTTACACGGTGTCACGGGGAAAATAGAACTTCCTCGTGGACAGAGACATATCGCTACTTGTAACCTTCCTGTCAGGTTTATATAACCATTAACCATGCTTCTATTTATCTAGACTAACTCCTTTCAATAATATCAATGCAAATTTTTTACGATCTTTGATTCCTTTAAATAATGTTAAAAAGAGGAATTTTAGGGGGCCGAGTTATGTCACAATGAGCGACTGGTAGGTTTTATATAGCCTCTAACTGCTGATGCTACAATATTTACAGCACAGGCCAAAATTGCTGACTATCCCATACAAAGCATTTAGACTTTTAAACTTACGGTAATTTTCACACTGCAGTCTGCACGTATTACGTACTTTGAAACAAGTTTAGCAAAGAGGCAATTTTAGAAGAAGTGAAAATTGTTGGAAATATTTGACACTTATCCTTTATCATAAATAAAATGGTCATATTTGTTGGCAAACCTGAAAAACAAGATCAAGGTTTAATCAAGATTTGATAACATTCACTAATACAATTAACCGAATTATCAGGAGTGGCTTCTCGGAGCCGTTACCGTTAGCAGAACAGTACTGTGGAGATAGTGATGCCGTACTTCAGGCTCAGTACCAACGCATTGCGTACCAGAAATACCAAGTTAGTCCACAAACATATGCCAGAGTTCATTAGGATTGAAAATATTATATCATTTTTTAGTCTGCATCATATTATATGTCTCTAGAATCACGATTGTTTTAGGAGGAAAAATATGTTGATCATGAACAAGGCTATATTTCAGGCGGAAAAAGAGAGGAAAATAGCGGAATTCCAACTGAAAGTGAAAGAACGGTTGAGAGTAATGAAGGTGCGGGAACAACAAGATATGGTCGACAGAACCCTGCAACTCACTGAGTCTGAGAACCTGTTGATGAAAAGTGTTGACCCGGTTAAGAAGCCTCCTATCGTAGCTTCACCTCTTGTGGCCATCAACTCTCAGGTAACAGTCTGCTAATTAAGTCTCTTTTTTTCGTTTTGGTTAAAGTCTCTTCAGAATAAGGGGAATAATCAATTGATTTTTTCCAATTTCTTTAAAAGTTGAGCAATCAGCAAATCTTTTTGGGTAATTTGCAAATCTTTTTGGTCAATCTGAGAGTTCTTCTTCACTAAAAGAAAAACTATAACGGTACAAGCTAAAATCAAGATCGCTATGGCCAGATTCTCACCAGCCTCCAATTTTTCTTCTTCACCCCTCCGATCTATAGTTTTGCTGCTGCCGCTACTATCTTGTCTTGATCTACAAGAGATGTAGATATCCTTGCCGTGAACACAATTGTGAGACGTAGTGTATCCACACGTCCTCCACTCCCCCGCAGTGCAGTTCATATCATCTAGTGCTATACGGTAGTTGCCCCAAGACATGGCAACTCGCCAACTCTCAGCTGCAGAATAACCCATGTCCCGACAGGCTGCATCAGCCGAGTTGTTGGAGAATTGGTCCCCGCAAACTGTCCCACCGTTATAGAGCAGTAAAAATTCCTGGCTACCTGGAATATAGATTATGGCTGTCTCAATCCATGGGAAATTTCAACAATTTTCAATTCTTAAATCTTATCTTTTTCTAATCTCAAACTTGAAACCCTGTCATTGATAAAACGTTAATAAGAACCAATTACCTGACACAGTGTACCCTCTCTTGTCGACTAAAGAGAACGAACTGCGGGACCCCGAACATGTTATAAACACGTCTCTATCATGACCGAGATAGTGAGAATCAGAGTGGTTGCAGGTTGACCAATCAGCCAAGGAACACTGAACAGTGTCAGTTAATACTGGGTAGGTTGTTTGGATATGCCACTTCTGTCCAGATGTCCACTGGAGCGCTCCTGTAAAGCCCATAACTTTGCAGATAGCATGAGCTGCAGTTGAGTTGAAGTTATTGCTACCAACAGTACCCTCGTTGTGCAGAAGTAGGCCTTCTTGTTCTCCGGTTGTGATGTAGTTACCGGACGAGTCTACCAGTTGGAACACTGATGCTACCCCTGAAGGTGGTAGATGTGTTAACTCTTTTGGTAGATGTGGTAGATGTGGTAGATGTGTTAACTCTTTACTTAATTTTTCTAGTCTCTGCTCAAGAGGCTTAGAAATTTTGTAGGCTTAATCTTTCTTCAAAACAAAAGATGTTGTTTTTTGGTGATATCTGCGTATTCTGATATCGGCCTAATTTGGCAGTGAGACTCACTTGGTAAACAGGTCACAAAAACATCCCCCCCATGATTACAACGGTTTGGTGTATTGATGTAGCTGCAAGATGACCAATAGGGCAGTCGACAAATAACGTCGTCTAATAATACGGTAAAACTATTCTGAATCTGCCATTTCATTCCAAATGTCCACTCAAGGGCACCTCCAAATCCCATTTCTTTGCAAATAGCATGAGCAGCAGTGATGTTGAAGAGATCACGACAGACGGTCCCTCCGTTGTACAATAGTAACCCTTCCTGTCTTCCGTAAGTAATAGTGTTCCCTGAGATATCTATACGCCGGAATTCCGCATCTGAAATACTCGTCCGTTATCTTAATAAGTTTATACTTAATTAGTTTCTACTTTAATAGTTTATACTTAAGGGGTACTGGTAGCAGGTAGCAGCTAACCAAACTGACTGGAAATGTTGTGCAAATTGTATTATTATCTTGTTGAAAAATTACCTCATAGTTCAGTTATCTTGATGTCATAATATTAACGAAGCAAATCATATCTTACTATATATAAAGCGAGACGATATATATATTGACGTATGTTTTGCGCGGTTTTGCAACGCCTTTGTTCCTCTGTAAAATGCTAACAGTAACAATTTTAATCGACCAGCCCTCCACAACCTGGAGAAGGAGACCGCCAAGAGGAACTCTGTTTATGCCTAGTGATTCAGCTAAGTCAAACTATCATAATATGCACTACCGAAGTTTACACAATGATACTCGTTTTGAAGATTACTTAAAGCTCTCAGACCAGTTTCCCACCCCCAGTGGTTACAGAGCTCAGAATACTAAAGCCGGGAAGAACAAGCACAGCACTACAGAACTAGCCGGACAGAACACAGGAAACTGCACACACAGTGCAGAACTGATTGTGATAACACGAAGTCCCGACAAGATCACGGAGGACACTGCAATTACATCCACAAACACTACAAACTACTTGAACTTCCGGGCAGCCCCACTAAATACAAACACTAACTTGAACATCCGGGCAGCCCTTTTGAATATGTTAAATGCGAATGTGTACTTGAAATCATACTGTATATTAATATATCAATATATCCGTTTGTATTATAGTACTGCTATTATAACTATATGTTATTACATCACACAAAATCTCACTAAAAGCTCCAATTTCACACACTTACACCGCCTGTCTGCTCAAGATTTATTTTGTTCTTTATACAGCAAAATATGTGTCAATGAAGGCAAAAGTCAAGAACTCGGGCGGAGTGTGGCCGCAGTCTCGCCACCCGGAGGTCTAGCGCGTACCATTGCACCACCGTCCTGGGTAACTGATAAGAAAAACAGCACCTCATATTCCAGCACTCCTCTTACTAGCATTTCCGGGAGTGTGAGCTGCTGCTATACACGACATGTATCCCAAAATATACATGATCCAAGTTATACACTGTGTGAGAGTTATATCTTGCAAAACTCAATAAATGTTGAATTGCTTAAACTAATATTCCTTTTACCCCTAGTTGCTGCTGTCATCGAAAATGAGGAAAGAGACAAGAACAGTGCCAACAACTCAACGAAAGAATCAACATCTGCAGGGAGGAACTCATCTATATCCGGAAGGAGGCCCCTGCGACCGCGCTCTGCTATTAACAATAGCAACTCGTCATCAAATGGTGATGGAGGAGACGATGAAGACGAGGGATTTAGACGGGAGAAGCTGAAAACGCAGTGCGAAAACGATGCAGTAGCCCCTTGCCCTACTTCAACCGAATTAATGAAGGAAGGAATCGATGAAAATGATGACAGTTTAAAAGTAGATTTGACAAACGACCTTCACGATAAAAGAGATCAGTGGACTCCTTTACCACTACCTGTTAATTCTACCTATATCAATCAAGGTTCGGTAAACTTCATTAATATCAGAGATATGTCAATCGTTAGAGGCATTTCCAGAGTATGGGACATCGCACGTAACGTGAGTGGGTTTAACGCCACTCAAGTCAACAGCACTGTTAACCTGAACATCTCAGTTGGGAACACTATCGGAGACATCTCATATCTATCTGATATTTCTCAGGAAACTGAATATGATGATGATGATAAATCAGAACCTGCAGGCAGTCCTTCACCCTCCCCCCTTTACCTGACACCGACCTCGAAAGTACCAACAAGTAGAGGAACACCCCCGAGGAAACATGTCGAACTGGACTACACATCCCCAGTGAGGACGAATTTCAAAAGCAGGTCACGCTCCAAATCTGAGAGCTCATACAGACGTGATCCGTACCACAAACCAACCCCAACAGCTCTTTTGAAACGAAGACTCAAAGAAAAGATTGCGCTCGAAAGATCCGCGGCTTTCAACGAAACACCAGTCGCGAGGATGAGACATAACTCTGAACCAGCCACCACTACGATTTCCTCAAATGATTCACATAATCTCTCCTTTTCACAGGGAGTTGTTGGATGCACTAGAATAAGGGAAAGTGGCACTCACGACTGTGGCACCGACGGTGCCGGTATACATTTGGAAAATGATTTACTGAACATGAATAACCCATTCCGCTTGAATATGAGCAATATTTCTAAAGCGGTGGAAAGAGCTCTGTCAACTGACCTAATGCAGATTGACAACTCAAACCCGACAGTTACCATAACGTTCTGCCGAGAGGAGGTTGATCGAGTAACACGAATCAGTTCACTGGACGAACATCCACGTGACCTGATCGAACAAAAGTCTCTCCTCTATCTGCTCGGTCAAATAAACCGTCACATGTCCCGCACAACATCATGCAATCAGAACTTTAACGGTCTAAAAATCACCAGCATGTCGAACAGAGCAAAACGAATGAAACTAGATGATGATAATTGCTACCCGCTTGGAATCTTGCATATCGGTAGGAGCAGGGGACTCGGCCTGCTACCTAAACGTGCTGCCCGCTTATCACTCAACGTCTATGATGTCGAAATGAGAAACTGGTCGTTCTTAACTATATCTTCGAAAACTCGGGCAACTATGATACCAAGTTTTGCTCCCGAAAGGAAGTTTGAAATGCATATACCTGATTACCACATAGTTATCATTCCATGCAACAGTGATGAAGGCTGCAATTTGTCACGGTCTTGTCAAAATTGCGTAGTTGTTGAAGATGGAAAAATACATGATGCCAGTGACGATCAGGGGAAGGAGACCACATGCCATCAAGAAGAAACAATGGCGGAAGACAACAAAAAGTGTGTGATAGCTGAAAATAGCAAGAACGTCACAACAGAAGATGAAGAAAAGAAGACAGACTCTGAACCTTTTCACGAGAAGAAACTCTCAGTTCCTGATCATGCCGACTCTGACAGTGAGTACGATTCATGCGATCAAGAACCAGAGGACTCTGGAACAGAAAAAGTTGGAATTATGAATCACTCTGAAACTGACTCTATTTCAGAAAATGATGTCAATGTACCCAACGACAGAGATGATGAAGATGGATATCTCGCCCAAGAACGTTCTTCAAATGTTGGTATCGCAGTCAATACAGAAACAGAAACGGATAAAGGAGAGGGAAGTGTTGCTGAGATTGCTGTGGCCCCAAATGAGAAACAGGTCAATGACGAACTTAAGATGGGTAAGGTAGAGGTGACCAATCTGCCGGAGGAGACAGAGCAGGAAACAGCAGGAGTTGGTAACCCTCCGCAATCTGACTCTTTACCTGGCAGTAATGACAATAACAGTAAGATTACAAACATTACCATTCCGACCCCATTCTTACAAAACAACGCCCACGAAGAAGTTGTCAGATTAAGGAACGGGGCCGTGGTTAAAGGTTGGCTAAAAGAGTGCAACATAAAATGTTACAACAAAACGGCAGACTGGAGCCGAGTGTATTTCATTGAGTACCTGGGCAATGTGGCATCAAGTAACTCTCCGTTGCAAAACAGTGTTACAAGTGATAGATATGCCCTTCACCCGAAAGTTATCAAAGAACTGATCGTATACCTGACAGACGATGCAGTAGTGAAAGAACTTAGCGCTCGAGGTGCATCTATCGCCGGAACGCCTGAAAAGAGAAAGAACAAGCTCACAGGTCTGTTCATTGATCTATACGGTGCCAATAAAAGCCCGGTCAAAAACAAAAATGCTAAGAAGGGGAAACATGGGAAGAAAGGAAAGACGAAGTTGGGCCAGAACCACAAAGACGACTATACTAGTACAGAACCGGTCTGTGCACAACCTGGCCCGGGAATAAAGACAACCATAATTAAGCAAACACCTGAGCCTCATGATATTAACGCAACAATACTAAGCGTTGTAGAAAGCCCCCTAAAAACGCTGGAAAATTGTATGCTGAAGCTAGATGATCGGTTATTAAAGCAAGAAAGTATGGTTGCAGCACTATCGAAGAAGATGGATGCCATAATACAAAACCCACTTAAAAACAACACTGAAATCGCTGAACGCTTCCACCTTCTGGAAGAAAATGATAAGACCCTATTCATCAATATCAAAGCGCTAAATACGGATAGTCAACGGTGCTCTGAAGAGACCCTGAATAAATTTAACTCAATAGCCCAAACGGTTGATAGGTTGGAGTCCTTGGTTAACATCTCTCCAAAGCCTGTCCTCTGCTCTTGTCACTGTGATGCAGAAAAAAGCCGAGATTTAAAAATGAATAGTCCCCTTAAAACAGCAACCATCTGCCGCTCACAGGATGCCGACTCTCAACGAGAAACTGTAACAAATGAAATTTTAACCCATGAAGAAACTGGTCCATTTACAGTGGATATCGGCGTCCAGACAGAAACCCTAAGAAACAGTTTATCTACAAGTCCGTCGACGACGGATAGTTGCGCCCAGACAGAAACAACTGTGTACGAGATTGCAACTCAAACCGAAGAAATGATCCCTCATTCTCTGAACGGTGCAAATGAAACAGCCGATATGGAGGAACCATCTGCTCATGACGTTGAAAGAATCACCTTTGGCCTGCAACAACTCATAGAGTCAGTTAAAGATAAAGAAAAGATGATAATGGATCAGCTAAGCGACTTTACTTGTGAGCCAAATCAAAATGATACCATCAATTGTCTGCAACAACTCTTAAGGTCAACTAGAGATAAAGAAAAGGCGATATCAAAGGAAGTTGAGTCAAATCACGATGAAACCATTCATAAGTGCTCATCATCTACCACGTTGTACTCGGAGATAATAGAGGCTAATGCGGAACCTATGGCGTCGATAATTGACCAACCTCCAGGCGAGGCTGAAGGGAATTTGCATGAAGCATCTCCCGAAGTAACTCATAAACCACAACAAGCATCACTCACAAAGTCAAGTCACGAGTATCAAAGAAAAAAGAAAGTACTCCTAGTGCATGATTCTTACCATGAAGACTTCGACCAGCGAAAATTCTCCAGAAGTTATGATATTAAAAAAAGTGCAATACAGCTCAGTTAGTGACTTAGTGGAAAAACGGAAGCTCATATCCGAAATCAAAAGCTTCAACCCTGAGATAATCTTTATTCACTTGGGAATAAATGACATCAAGAGGGGGCTAACGTTCCCCACTTTCATAAGAAACTTTAAAAGTATCCTTCGATTGGCCTTAGAAGAAACCAATTGCAAGATATGTTACTCGCTCATAATACCAACACCAGGTAACCCTAACCTCAACACAAGGATTCAAGCTGCCAACCAATATATGGGTGACTTTATAAAATGGCTCAGAGAAGAGAACTACTATGAAGACCGAATATGCACAGTCGGTAATGACAACCTCAGCGGCTACTTGGAGAGATATGTTACAAAAGACGGTGAAGCACTGAGACTTTCGCCCAAAGGTTTAGCTAAACTATGGCTCAGATGCCGAGATGCCCTTAATAGAACGTCAACCCTAACTAGGCAAACTTTACATGAGTTCACCCGAAGCAACGATCATAATGAATAATACAGGGAGCGTAATTGTGGGAAAACTGCAGAGAGACAATAGCAGTAAAGTTGATGAACTATCCCACACCGCAGCACAAAACCATGATCAGGACCTCTCAGTTGTGTCATGGAACATCAATAACATATCTCACCACTCACTAGGAAACAAGACCGAGATCGATGAGTTTCGTGAGATCATCGAGATGTCACCGATATTTTGTCTACAAGAAACAAAAGGAGAAGTAGTGGTGCCCAACTACCGCTGCTTTAACAAAAACAGGGTATCCTCAAGATCAGGAGGCCTATGCATCGGTGTTCAACGGTCGCTCGAAAAGTACATTAACCAAATCGAAACAGGTTCAACAGACATCCAAGCAGTATCCATTTCGAAAACGTACACAAAGGCCGAAAAGAACATCACTCTGATAAACATATACGACTCACCCGAAAATTCCTCTTATAAAGTCAGGATGAAGAGTCTTGGAGTTGAGGAGAATACTCTTGAAGCTCTTCTCCACTTTATCGGAGAGCAACTTGGTCACTCTGACATCATGCTAGTAGGTGACCTAAATGCTCGTACAGGTGGTGTCAACTTCATCCCAGTGACAAAAGACTGGATGAAAAAGAAGAAATCGAATGCACCCAGACCTTGCCGAGCCAGTAAAGATTCTGTACTAAATGAAAGAGGTAATAGATTCCTTCTGTACTAAATGAAAGAGGTAATAGATTCCTTGACCTTCTGGGCAGCTGTGATCTCACTCTATTGAACGGCAATGTCATTGGTGACATTTTTGGTGAGCTCACCTGCTATCAGTACAACGGACAAAGTGTCGTTGACTACATAGCAGTTTCACCGAGCATCAGGAATATGGTGAAACGGTTCAAAGTTCTTTCCTTAACTAACCTATCAGATCACAGACCTATCCTCTGTCAACTCTCAGTTAGAATCCAAATGATAGCCGCTGAATTAATTCAAGAGCTTCATCAAGATGCACCTAAAAGACCGAAATGGGATGGAGATGCAACGGCCCAACAGTTTACTGATAATCTTAACAAGGCCGAAATAACAAAACAGCTATTGGATATTTCGACCTCAACCTTTGATTCTGCAGAAAACATTTACTCCACAAACGAGAAGTTCGTTCACATTCTTGAAAGCGCACTTTGCACCGATCAACCCTCAAACTGTGCCAATAGTGAGCAAAAGATAAGGTGTTTTTCTAAAAAGAAACGACGCAGTAAACTCCGCCCAAAACAAAAGTGGTTCGATGCCGAGTGCATTACAACTAAGCGAGAGCTTAATATTCTAACAAAGAAGTACGGGAAAAACCCCTCGGACGCCCTTCTACGAATCCGCTTCTACTCTAGGAAGAAGGACTATAAAAAATTGTTAAAAAGGAAAAAGGCTGTTTTCTTCCAAGAGTTAAACCAGGAAATTCTGCAGGAAAATAAGATTTCGTGGAAGAACTTGAAGAAACTGAAGAAGTTTAACGAAAAACCCTCCAAGCTGGACATATTCGACATGGCGAAGTTCTACCAATTCTTTCTGGATCTCTACAAAAAGAAGGATACAAACTTCCCACAGAATAGAACAGTGACTAAAGCAAATGAACAAATAATGAGCATACTAAATGATGAGATATCATCGAAAGAGGTTGTACATGCGGTGAAAACACTTAAGAACGGTAAGGCAGTTGGACTAGATTGTTTACTCAATGAGCAGCTTAAGTCTGCCGCCCAGAACCACTGCGCTCTCTCAGTGTTAGTTAAGCTCTTTAATGGTTGCTTGGACCTTGGTGTCTACCCATGGAACACTACGATTGTGAGCCCACTCCACAAGAAAGGATGTATCTACGACCCCGATAACTACAGAGCCATTGCGATCGGGAGCAACCTTGGTAAACTTTTCGCGACAATCCTATTGGACCGTTTGCTAAAATTCAGGAAGGAACATTGCCCGGACACAGTAAACCAGCTTGGCTTCTGTAAGAATGCTAGAACTGTGGATCATCTGTTCACCCTTTCCACTTGTGTAGACAAATACGTGAATAACAAAGGACAAAGACTCTATTCTTGTTTCGTGGATTTTCGCAAAGCTTTCGACTCCATCAGTCGTGAAGCTCTTCTGTACAAGCTCTCAACCCTTGGTATAGATGGAAAATTCCTAAAATGTCTAGAACATATGTACAAGAATTCCAAAGCTAAGATCAAGCTGATCGCTAAAATATCAGACTCATTTGATATTCTTGCAGGTACGGAGCAGGGCCACCCAATGAGCCCCGAACTATTCAAAACTTACATCCACGAACTTTCGGAACGACTGAACAGTGTTCAAGACATCTCAAGTCCATTGCTGAATGAAACTATTCTGACCCACCTCTTGTGGGCAGATGATCTTGTCCTCCTCGCACTTTCGAAAGAAAGTCTTCAGGTCATGATCTCTGAACTTGAGTCATTCTGCAGAGAATGGGGGCTCACGGTGAACACCAAGAAAACCGCCATCATGATTTTTAATAAAAGTGGAAGGCAACTCAAAGAGAGTTACGGTTTTCAGTACATGGGAGCAACAATCCCATCAGCAAAAACATATTGCTATTTAGGGATCACCTTCTCACTGTCGGGCAGCTTTAAGACAGCACTAAACCTTCTGCGACAAAAAGCTCTCCGGGCATACTTTGGACTGAAAAGTGAAGTCGACCTTAACAATATATCCAAGGTCGCAGTTCTTAAACTGCTCGACTCCCTCATACTGCCAGTTGTATCGTACGGAGTGGAAGTCTGGATCAGCAGTAGCTCAGGAATTAAGGCTTTTGCCAGCACAACTGACAATCCGAAGCAATCCCCACTGGCAGGCATTGCAGCTGACCCATTCGAAAGAATGCACCTCGCCATCCTTAAATGGACCCTTGGAGTTGGCAAATCGACATCTAACGCAGCTGTTTGGGGAGACTGCGGAAGAACCCCTATTGTAGTTCGATATGTTAAACAAGTCACCGATTTCCATAATCGCCTTGCAAGACTTGAACTAGAAGACTCACCAGCCCTAGCCAGGCACGCTTTTGCTGAGCAGAAGAAACTTGATTTAGGTTGGTTCAGAGCACTGGAATCAATGCTAACGATACTCGACGAGAACAAACTTGAACATCAACTATACAACCCATTGTTATGTCAGGAAAGGGCACATAACCGATTTATCAATCTATGGGAAACAGAAAGAAAAAGCAATAAGAAGCTTACGTTCTATAATAAAGTTAAAGGTGCTTTCGAGCAGGAGCCGTACCTCACGCTACCGTCGAGAACTGGAAGCAACTTAGTGGCTAGGATCCGAATGAGCGGACATAAGCTAAACGTAGAAACTGGAAGATATGGGAGCAGAACTGGAAGTCAACATCACAGAATTTGTGAATTCTGCAGCGAAAAGTCAATGATGGAGCTCTTTGTTAATCTTCCTTGTGTTGATCCGATAATAGAAGATGAAGAACACTTCCTTAGAACATGTCCCAGGTACCATTCCAGTAGGACTAACATGAAGGAGCCCACAAAGTCATTACTATTTCATGACATGAAGAGCCTCTTTCTACCGGAGCACATAGTGGAATTCACCAAGTTCGTCGCTCAGCTATGCCGAACACGATTCCCTATAAAGAAGAAACACGAACATTAGTGTCTCAGTACGGGATATCACATTTCCTCCACAGCCCCTTCATTTTCACTTTTTCTTTACACTCATCAAACATTTTAATGGTAACGGATTTTCTATTTGGATTTCGGACTTTGACCTTTAGCTATGCTGATCTGACATTATCTCACTGTAATATAGATCTATTTTTTGTAAACCTTGTAAACCTTGTAAACCTTGTAAACCTTGTAAACCTTGACAACACCATTATATATATTTATCTGTGCCATTTTACTGACACCACGGCATCAACTTTTACGCGAATTTCTGCAAAAACCGTAAAAGATATACAACTGAAACTTTTTTGACTGGGTCGAATGCTTTAATGGCCTCCAAATCAGCATGAAAAAATAAAAAATTGGTCAAGAAATAGGAGTTTTAGAGCCCAAAATTTGGTACCCCAAGTGGTGTCAAAAACGCGAATTAAATAGGTAATAATTGTTTTAGTCTCTTGAGTCTTGACACCATTTTAGGGTTAGACGGGTTCCTGCTAGTTATCATAATTCATATCAGCGATATGCAGTTAAAAAAGTATCTTAAACTAAAAAACAAACCTGCCCGTGTCAGAATGAGAAAGGTAATAATCAAGATAGACCCTCTAAACATCAGGCACTAAGCAACAAACTGCAGAACGAATATGGGAGTTTGAATTATCAGTAAGGTAGCTGGTGGTTTAAAGTATCCTGTTACACAATCTGATACTGCTGATATACAACTCAATATTAAAGGTTCAGGTTATAATTCATATTATGTAATACTTTATTAAAAGTCAAAATACTCATGTTGTTAATGTTATTTGGCAAGTCAATTTAACGTTTTTAAGGGAGCAAAGAGTAGAATCGCAGCACAAAAACAAGAAACGGACATGCTGGTTAAAAGCAATAAGTTAGCAAGAAGTAAGCTGGCTGGGGAGAAGACAGAAGTAGTCACCATATCCTGCACAGCCTCAGACAATGGTGAAAGTGGAAGTGAAAGTGAAGCTGCTGTTGACAGTAGAGATGGTGATAAGGAAAATGCGGTTTCTAGAGCTAAACCTAATTCCGAGGCCGTGAGGTTCGTTTAGAGTTTTAGACAGTAAAATACACTGACAAATTTGTTTATAATTTCGACTTGATCTGGATTTTTTTTTAATTGATTAAATCGACTGTCAATAAAAAGGGAAACTTTATGTAATGAACTGTAGGATACACCGACTGAAGGAAAGCCGGAGAGCGTATAGTATTCTGGAGAGACAGCGTATGAAGGAGAGATCCAGAGAACTAGAACACAAAGCTGCTGCCAACAAACTGAGACAACAATCAGAGAGAGATCGGACTATTGCGGAGCAGCTCGTTAACCAGGTCAGAGGGAGGGAAATAGGAAGCGAGATAGGGGAGGGGTGATGGTCGCTGGGTTGTAACGGATAGAGACTATACTAAAATGGAGAATAACGGAAGGGTTTTTCCATTTTCTCCATAGAAAAAGTCTCAAAACAAAATTCCGCGATTTATAAGTTTTCATGTTTTCTATCCCGATTTCGGTCCTCAAATCACTCTCGATATACGATCTTAGAGTCGAGGCTTCCCCTTTGAAATGTAATGCGATCTCGAAGGGCAGGCCTACCGGCCCTACCCTATGCAATACGAATTCGGAAGCGGGACCCCTGCCTTCAGAGGAACGTATCGAGGATGACTCGGACCGAAAATTTTTTAGTCAAAATCTTTTCAAAGTTTTTCTGGAAACTGCTTTTGTTCACGATTCATGCTACCCTGATCATTATTAGCCCAAAATACTTTTTCGATTTTCAAAGTCCGCACCTACCCTTCAATATACGATTTTGGACTCGACGGTTCCCCCTTGTAATGCAATCTCGGAAGGCAGGCATCCCCTTTGCAATACGAGCTCGGAAGCGGGAGCTCTGCCTTACATACCGAAAATGACTCGGGCCGAAAATTTTCTTTAAACAAAAATTTATGCCATTACCCCCCCCCCCCCCCCCCCCCCCTTCGGTGTTTCAATTTACTTGCGAGTTTTTCATGGAAAGTGTTTTCAGGCTATCAATCAAATGTAAAGCAGAATCCCCGGGCAGGTAGTCTCTTAGAAAAGCGAATTCAGGAACCGTACAGAAAAACAAGAAAATTCTCATCTCAGAGTTGGACAGCCTTATAAAACGGTAAGTTTTTTATGTTCATCTAATTTTTGAATAGTCTAATGTCCTATGTTTAGCAAATATAGAGCTAAAGTGTAGTTGCTTTCAGTATACTACTATTTTGTACGGGAATCTTAGGACAAATTATAGCCAAAGATTAAATAATCATTTCCGTAATTACTATGGTATCGAAATTATGGACGTACAAAAAAGAATTTTTAAATAAATTTTATCAACGGTATTTTACGTTCGCTTATATTATTTCAAATCCTGTCACGTTAATAGCATTACCTGACCCGAATAAAACCATTTCCTGCGCTGTTGTATGCAGGATACTACTTTATGAGGCGGTGTTGTCATGAATTTAAGATTAAAACTCACGGAATTTAATGAATAAACACTCTGATCGGCACTGGGAAGATCTAGATAACAGCGGGAGTGATAATTTCGCAGTCTTCACAATTAAGTAGGCAGGATTTTAGGTTAAATTCGCAATGGCAATGGCTGGAAAGGGCCTTGTTAAGTAAACAAAGGAAAGCAAACTAACCAAAATGGAAGTGTTGGCTCCATAATGATCTGAAGAAATTGTTTAAAATTTTAATAACAAAGTTCTAATATAATAATCTTCTAATATAATTAATTATACTTAATAAGATTAAATATACTCTTAATACAATACTTTAGGTTGCACGAGTAAAGATATCAGTGATTGTGACCCCCGACCTCCCGTCCCTGTGTCCTGTGACCCGGACATTATGGCACAGGCCTGGGTTGTGTGCTACAAAACTGTTCCTTCAGTGATATCGCTAATGCTTTCGCTCACGCTCTGTCTTCTCTTGTTAATTGTTTTACAGTAGAGTTTCGTTACTAATATTATTAACTGTTACATAACTTTATGTTTACATAGTATATGAAACTATAGTGGATACAGGACCGTTGCATTGGTTGTATTGTAAATTGATTAGGAAATTTTAAACTGTTGATACTTAAGTTTTTATATTTAACTTGACATTATACCTCAGCAGGATGGAGTTTAAAGTTTATTTTTCAGATAACGATCAGATTTGTATATAAAATATTGTTAAATATTTGCTTACGGGTTCACGGTAAATATCCAAGTTTTTTATTCTATCATCAAATATCCTTTATTTTTCCTTAGTAGTAATGTTAAATTAAATACAGATATGTAACATATATTTATTATATTTCGGAGTGAATACAAGTTTTACAATTTACAGTTTATACAATGTAATCCTTGTTAATCGTTGTCTATTGGTGATCAGAATCAGTATAGCAGTGAACTTGGAATTTATTGTTAGATGTTATATATTCCAGATATATGAGATAAACTTTACTTATACACTATATACAACTTTATTTGCAAGAGTTTCTTTACTTACTAATTTCCAACGGCCTAGTCATATTGAAATCGGCGGTGATACTATTTAATTGTATTTATATTTATGAATAATATATCTTATTTGAAATGAATTGTTGCTTTTATTTTGTATTGTATATTTCATTTAAAAGTGATTGGACGATGTCAATCTGTTTCATGCTCGTGCTCCGTACGATCTCGTAACGGAAAGTGAAGCAAGCATGGACATTGCGCGAGGCATGGTCGAAGCGGCGAAGTCCTCCAACTCTTCGCATTCACATATTTTATCATCATCAATATCATATCACTATCAGAAAAGATGGTTTTGAAATGATAACACTAATTTAATGTCGAGTTTCTATATGATAGTTATGATCGGTGATACGACACTAGTAGGTTTTCGTTTATAACCTACCATGCATGAAGACGCGCGCCGGATTGGTCTCGTCGACGGTATTTTATTTTTACGACTATAACGAGTATTAGTATATGTATCATTTTACACCCGGTTAGCAATAAACCCGATATTAAACGCAGTTTGCTATTTGTATTGTTAACGATAACAGTAAAAATTAGACCGGAATTATGAACCAGGAATAACAAATTTGGTGATTGTTGTTTAGTTGTTTCCATTATCACAATAATGGAAACATTATTTAACCTTTTTTTTTTAGTGCTCAAGTGCTCCATTATAGTGCTTTGATGTCCGAACGATCATATTAAAACTTTGATTTTGAATTAAACAGAACACAATAAATATTAATTATTCTTATTGCTTATAGAATTACAAAAAGAACTAAGTCTAACTTGACTTGATTGTATTACCTCTGATATGTCGTAGCTAAGGACGAAATGAAAATCGCAATTATTTTAGGCAAAAATCGCGGCGCCGGATATGTTTGGCATCTAGACAAAAATCGCGGCAAAATAAAATACTTTCAAAAATCCGGGCGATTTCAAAGAAACTTTCACAGTTCTTTCGAGTGCGAAATGTTGTTCTTAGGCACGGTGGTTCTGGAACAAGTAGTCCTATGGCATACGCATGAAGTTTGTTGTCCATATTGTGTTCTCAAATGCAAAGGTATTAAGCTTTTCTACAAAGTTACAAACATGAAAGTCTTCATAGCATGTTTACAGTTAATGTTAACGTATTATGGGGTTTGGAATGGACCGGATAATACCACGTTAAAATATTTCCATCGCGCTTTTACGCTTACAGTTAATAATAATGTTTTATTAATTTGATTTTTACAATTTGTCCAAACCCTTTAAATCATGGATTGAGTGAAGCTGCCAGTGGTCTCTCTTTTTCCAAACAAAAGATAAATGTTATTAATTTGAGAACCGTCCGCAAACGCAAATTGATACCAAGAATGAATCGGGTCGCTCGCTTTTTCCCATTCAATTTTCTGGGGACCCCCAGGTATTATGTCTTTAAACATAATAGAGATTAGGCGGAATGACGGGTAGCGCGGGCAGTAAAACGGGACTCCCAAAGTTGTTATTAATCGTGAAAATAACAATTTTCATGATTTTAGCATTTTTAAAATCATTTGGCGTGTCCCCTACATTATGTGCAACGATTCGATTTTCAACTTTTAAACTAGCCTATAAACTATATGATATAAGACCAATTTAGACCTTAAACAGATGAATAAGGTTTTGACCCATGATAGGCCCCTCACTGGTCCGCTGCCACTAGTTACGACCGAACACATTAGATTAATTATAGTCAACATATCTCAAGTTTGGCCACAATTGGTTATTTGCGTTAATATTCAAGTATATTCAAACAAAGTTACAAGATAATGGCGGACTATGCACATAATTACTTCGGGTTCTTTTCGTGTGTTCATTTTTGTTCCTTTAGTCGTTTTCTCTGGATAGGTCACTTATTTCTGTCTTTAGGGTAAATCGGACTTTTTGATAACTCTTGACTCCTCAGTTTTAACAAGTCTATCAGGTCTGTTAATCCTTTACTACAATAACTGTAAGTTCGCTTTAGGATGACTATGCGTGAGTTGGGTAACTTTCTTTAGATTGATAATTTGTACATCAGCTGTGTAAAAGATAAAATTTGCGATTCTACCGTAACAAGCGGAAATATGTTATGTTGGGCATTTTAACATTTATTCCTACACGTAACCTTGTAAGTAATATTGTGTATTATTTTTGAATAATAAAAGTCTGATTTTTGTGTTTTAGTTTTTTATTTGTGAGCCCAAATTTTTAGAGATTGGGTATATTAGGGAAAGCTTAATTTAAGGTGCGATATGGTAGCTAAAAAAGGGGGTTTTTCATACTGCAACAAAAGGATGAAGCTTTGAGTTTAACGATAATTACAAGTAGTAGTAGTGTAGTACCGGTTAAGAGCGATCCGGTACACACATTTTCCTCTTAAATCTTTTATTGTTTTAACCACTGTGTTAATTTTCGACTTCTATCTCAAAAATTATGATGATAATACTAATCAAAAATTGCAAGTAATTCACTGAAGTTGATTCTAAAAATTTGAAAAAATAATTGTACCTTACAGTGCCTGTACGGTACGTACCTTTAAAAGTAGCTGTACCGTACGTACTTAAAGCCCTGTACCGTACGTACTTGCCATCTAAGATGGCCACGTGCAGCTTCGATCGATAGGCCAAAACGATTTGATTAGTAGCACTGGTAACATCTTATTCTTCCGTTCAAAAGACGAGCTAGCAATATAGCTATATATTATAGCTATATATTAAAGTATTAAGTTAGACTAGCTGGCGACTATTTTTATTCCGAACATGATCACCAGGGTTCGCAGCATTTTACTACCGTAAGAATAAGATTTACCGGAAATTCTACAACTGCTGCTTGACTTTTACATTTAACGTACCCCACAGGCCAGGACCCGACCATCTTTCAGTCTTATCAAATTTAAAACATGTTGAAACATTGCCATGCTGCAACGATTGTTATAATTTGGTTAGTTAAAACACTGAGCCAAAACGATGAGCGCTGGTAATATCTCTCATTCGATTCGGTTATCTGTCAATGGTCACATATAACGGTTAAGGCACGGTTTATAAGGAACGTCTTGCTCTAAACAGAGCCCTCTCGCTTACTTGTGAAACAAGCGCGTCACGCAGTACGCGTCACGCAGTACGCGTCACGCAGTACACGTCACGCAGTACACGTCACGCAGTACACGTCACGCAGTACACGTAGACTCATGACAATATGAAAGGAACGTCCGTTAAGTGTGCCTTAGCTGCTTAACTTTAAGTAACCATTGTGGCTGTGCCTTAACCGTGCGTTATAATATGTGACCATTGACACTGACAGATAACTAAATTGCCCATCTCTTATTCAAAGGAAAAGCTCGCATTAAGTTAGACTTAGAGTTAGACTAACTGGCGACTATATAGTATCCAACTACAATCTACATCATTCATATGAGTATGACCACGGAATGGGCGCGATTAGATTTACAACTTTACTAGGCCTAATCCTATCCGTAAGCTTTGAACGCTTACGGTGAACAACGAAATGGATGTTTACAAACGTACACGGATAAGCCAAAACGTAATTGCGCCTCTGTGGGATTTGCAACATTTAGCTTTCGTAAGGACAATGGAACCGATTAATATTGTTAGTGTTACAATTAGTCTTACAATCTTGAAGACACTTGAAATCTAGTGTAGCTGGGTTGTCAGTTTAACTCAAAAGAAGTGGTAGTCAAAAGTTCACCTATTATACTAATTACTAGGCCTTACTTGCAAGTTATCTAATTGTATTGGCCCAGAGCGGGAGTAGGAGTAGGACTATTGAGCGGTGGACTGTTGAGCGGTGGACTGTAGGCCGGTGAAGGTCGGTGAAGGTCGGAAGTAGGACTGCAGAGCGACCCTCTCTTGTGAGATCTATAAGGGCGGCCGCAATGCAATTATGCAATTGGCCCAGAGCACTTCGTGCTAATAAAAACTCTGCTGGTCCAAAGGAAAGATCACGTTATGTTAGACCATGAGTGGGCGACCACCCATCCAGTGAAATACTGGGCTTTAGGTTTTATAATTTTATAAAACCAGGCCCGAGGCGGTACGAACATAATTACATTACAATCGGGTTTCAAGTTAATTTATTAAAATTAATTAGTTAGCTATTTTCAGCTCAGGAAATGCCAGCTTTTAAAGTTGGTTCAAAAATCTTACTCTTTGTTTAATTTGTTTCAGTGATGAAATCGCTCTGAAGAATGTCCTCAACTTACACTTATTTATTATCATATATTACTATTATTCCTACGGGCTACGGTCAACCTAAAACGAAGTTAAAGTTATACTTATAGCTTTCAGTTATAGGGATGTTTCTTTTTATCGAGGTCAGGGCGAAAATTCAAAACTATATAGTGAATTAATAAACCATATCTAAAAAGGATTAATAATAATAATGGGCCTGGTCATAGACTTGTTAGATTTGGTGTCAAACTTAATCAAAAGGTAAATTTACTTAGCAGACAGAAAGAGGAGGCCTGCCTTCCGAGATCGCATTACAAAGGGGAACCCTCGAGTCCAAAATCGTATATCGAAGGGTAGGTGCGGACTGATGATCAGGGTAGCATGAAACATGAACAAAAGTAGTTTCCAGAAAAACTTTGAAAAATTTTGACTTACAAAATTTTCAGTCCGAGTCATTCTCGATACGTACCTTTGAGTCTGAAAGCAGAGCTCCCGCTTCCGAGCTCATATTGCGAAGGGGAGGCCTGCCTTCCGAGATCGCATTACAAAGGGGAACACTCGAGTCTTTTAGAATAATCTCGAAATCCCAATGTAAAGTGATTTAGCACACTCGTATTTTTAAACGCGCAAATTTGTAAACTTTATTGTATGTTTATAATGTTATTCTGATGAACAGAGTTATATCCAATCTGTAAGAATTGTAGTTATTTATCGGAATATTCCTCAGCTAACACAGGACTGATTCATTTCTTCTTCAAACTGGACTTGAGAAAGATTATTGTTGGTAAAACCTTTCAAAACTGTTTCTGGCTATTTTACGGAAAAATAACGATAAAAACGCACATTTTATTCGATAGAGAATGACAATTAAACAAATTGTTACATATTAAACTTCAACAGAAGCAACAATTCCAATGGTCCAATGACGCCACTGGAAACGCCCCTCAATCACATCACAATTCTCAGCCACCATCTTGTAGATATGGTTTTGCATTTCCTCGCTTAGTCTCTCATATTCTGCTTGCAACGAGAAGTCTATCTGGTAGTTCGTCTGCGGGGTGTCAACTCTCCGAACAAAGTCGTCTACGTCCACGTGGCAGCGCTCTCGCATGGCTGATATTGTTAGGTTAGAGGAGTCCTCCTCCAACTGAAATATTATCTTCTCTGCGGTCAAAGAATGGTCTCCGATACATTTGTCTGGAGAGAAGATCTCTGGGTCACTTCTATCCACCAAATAAGTGAATATCGCTGCTGTAGCACCTTCTCCTTGGTTAAAGATGAGAATCTTTCCTCCTGGTTTAAGGAATTTAATGGCATGAAGGACAGATCCACGAGAGTCGTCAAAGCCGTAGAGACTGTGAGAAAACAAAATGAAGTCGAACATATCACACTTGCTGTCCTCAAGCTGGAACTCAGTGTCGAAGAATGATGAGCAGACTTTGTATTCCAATCCAAGATCACCCCCCAGTACAGAGTGTAATTCACTCACGTGCTTGGCGTTCGGCTCAACAGCATAAATGTATTCTATCTTGAGTCCAAGTTCCCGTACCATTTTCAACTCAAAGTTCCCTCTCCCTGCTCCCACGCTCAGCATTTTAACTGGGTTCTCGTTGAATTTGTTTTCTGTTATAAATGTACTAGCTATGCGGGACATGACGTCGTACTCAGTTGAGATATCCTTGAAGTTGGAAAATACACGTGCATATTCCTCCTCTGTCAATGGGGGTGCAGTTTCCAAATTGGCCATCACTAAAATATTGATTATTTGTGTTTATTAACATATTGAAGGCATGGAAACTACAGTTTACCATCAGAAATTCATTAAAACCGCAACTGACATATTTATATATAACTCGAAAAGAAACATATACCTTAAAATGCTTTGAGAAATTGACAAAAACCTGAATTTCGGTTACACAAATGACAAATCATATAAAATTGAAAAAAATTTGATCAAAAAGAACTGGGTTATAATCCCTCCTTTAGCTCGAAACCTACATCGAATCGGGCTTTTGCAGATGACCAAACACTTATGTCCTCCAGACTAGAGAAGGTAAAGAAGCAGATAGAGTTGATGGAGCAGTTTTTGGATTGGAGTAGGAAAATGAAGGCCAAGCCTAGCAAGTGTGTCTCCTTGGGAATGAAGGTGATAGATGGTACGTACCAGGCTTATGACCCAGAGATATTGATTGACGGCCAGATAATCAGCTATGTAGGTCGTAGGAAACAACCCGATTAAGTTCCTGGGCCACTGGATCTATGTCGATCTAGGGTTAAATGACACTAAACAACGGATTGAAGACAAACTAAAGACTCTGTTTCAGACAGTGGATGAGTGTGGTCTCAACGGTGTCATGAAGTGTTGGATCTACAATAACATGCTGACTAGCAAGATGTCCTGGGATCTGATGATTTACAACCTTCCTGTAAGTTTTGTGTACGAACTGGATGCTATCTGCACCAGATTCTTAAAAAAGTGGTTGGGTGTTACTAGATCAATTACTGTGACAGTCCTGTACAGGAGCAAGGATTACTTCGGGCTAAACTTAAAGAAGCTAAGTGACTTATACAAGTCTCTTCAGGTATCAAAGGGACACGCCCTGAAGAACAGTGATGACACCAAAGTTGTAGAAGCCTATAATAACAAGAGAGAGAAACAGGAGAACAGCCCGAGATGGTCTTATACAACGGAGCTGACGGCAAGAGAGCGAGATCTTTACTTCCAGGAGTTGGTTGGAGTAGTGACTAAAGACCGAGTAGGACTCGGATACAAACCAAAGTTGACTGAGAGGCAGAAGCTAAGACAACTGGTAGAATCGGTGTCAGAGAACGACATGCTAGTCACCCTGGTAAACAAGGGAGTACAGGGCAAGTTCTTGACATGGGAGAACACGATGCAGTTAGACTTAGGATGGAACAGCCTTATCTACAATTACAAGATGAGCCCGGCTCTCCTTAAGTTCCACCTAAACTCGACACACGACGTGGCTAATACCCCTGCAAACATGAAATTGTGGAACTACTCGAGTACAGGAAATTGTACACTTTGTGGTTGGAAGACGTGCAACATCAAGCACATCCTAGCCGTCTGCAGTGTAGCAAGAAAATCCAAAAGGTACAACTGGAGACATGACAACGTCCTACGTGTTATAGCCGGAGCCTTGCTTGACCAACTCAAGATGTACAATTCCTCAGGTTCCACGACCTCCGACAAAGAATGGATACGGTTCAAGTCGAAGGATGGGAAGTATGAACACCCAAAGCCAAAGTTGAGGAAGGAGAGGCCCTTTTTTTTTTCTTTTTTTTTTTGGGTTGGGGCACCCACTTTACCTTCCTTTCGGAAGGCTACGTCCGTCTGGTGACTAACGTCTATTGGGGTCCCTCCAGTTGTAGGTGTCAGAGAGGCCCTTTGAGAGAGTGAAAGACTGGAAGCTGATATGGGACGAGGATACACTACCTGCCCAGTTCCCACAGCACATCTACAACACAGCGGAGAGACCCGACATTGTAGTATGGTCGGATAGTTTGAGAGAAGTAGTTCTGATTGAACTGACTTGTGGTGACGAGAGTAACTTCAGTGACCAAGTAGCACGTAAAGAAGCACGCTACAACAGAGAGCTGATTCCTGGCATCGACGGGTGCGGTTGGAAAGCTCTGCTTTTTACGGTAGAGATTGGGTGTAGGGGCTTCTGGCACCATACTGTACCAGCTCTATTCAACTACTTTGGATTGGCGAAGAGAACGAAGAATAAAGCCCTGAATGAGGCTGCTTTGGTCGCTCTTCGATGTTCCTATACAATCTGGTTAGCCCGCGACAACAAGAAATGGTCTACCTGCTACGACATCGCAAGGAGGCCAGAAGTCATAAACTGTGAAAGCTGAGTGTTGGGCCCATAAAACATGTTGAAAGCTGCAACCAGGATCACAAGTACTGGTGGAATACAGAATGACTTGCTGATCAGATTTATAGATGGAGTTGCTATCGAAAGATATAGAACTCAGGTAAACATCTAACCTGTAATAGTTTATTGTTGATTTTTCTCTGGATACCTGGTAAATTGGGCTAACAGGTCGCACTCGTAAATACTTTACAGTGAGTGTAGAATGTTCGCAATTACCGTGTTTATAAAAAAAGTACAACACATCTTCCCGATAATAATTTGTTTTGTATTGATAATGATATTGTTTGATTGTGCCGTCAAAATAAATAATTGTTTTATTAATAATTGATTTACTAAATCAAGAAAACGGGCAAACGGCTGACAATAATAAATCAAAATTTCAGTCTAAAAAGACTTTTTTCAAACCTAAAATGAGAAGTTCGGACTATAGTCCTACATTTAAATTCGACGGTATCATAAGTACGTTTAAATGTTTATTAAAAAGTACAGCTGAGTGCGAAAAATGTGTGTCAAACCTGTGATTGAGTATTTATATAGTAACAGACGACTTAATATGAACGTCGATCGTTTTCATAAACACGTGTTTTTATTTTCAAACAGTCTGCTTAGTAATAGTTAACGAGCTATGAATTTGAAGTTTCAATCTATAGCGTTAACTATTTCACATTGCAAAGATAATTCAAAGCGTTTAGAATTTTGAGTGAAAAGTAAGTGGTACTAGTCGTACTTTTCAAGGTACTTTTTAAGGTACTACCCCCGTAATTATCATATTTGCTTCATAATTTTACATCGGTTGCTTACTTAATATGTTTTTGCACTTATCTCATGCTGTTCGTATGTGTTATGTAATCGTATAGAGAGCTCAAGAGCTGGTCAAGACATTTATTGTCTTGAAGACAATAAATCAGTACAAGTTGGTGTGCCCATACTCTATTGTATCACAATCGAGGAGTACTCGAAATTTCGGATAAAGGTTGCTTAATTATTGTAGCCCCCGGTAACTCGTACTCTGTTCTAGCTACGTCTAGATTGTAGAGTACGTTTTATTTACCACATTGAACATAATAACTTACATACCTAGCGAGAATGTGATTAATTACCTGACCTGTAGATTATATATTAGATACTTCATACTACAGTATTATGTCTGTTCAAATAAGTTCCGTCCAAATCAAAGTCCGTCCAAATCAATGGTAACTCGTTAATCTGCCGATGCACATCTGGGGCACACCTCGGGCACACCTCGGGCACCCAGGTGTGCCCGAGGTGTGCCCCAGATGTGCATCGGCAGATTACCGAGTTACCGTTTACTGGGGCACACCTCGGGCACACCTGGGGGGTAGTAGTAGATATGTTGTGGTAGTAGAACGAAAACTGGAATGTATAAGGTAACAAAATAGGTAATTTTGCCCGAGATGTGCCCGAGGTGTGCCCGAGGTGTGCCCGAGGTGGTTCTGCCCGAGGTGTGCTTTGTGCCCCAGGTGTGCCCGAGGTGTGCCCGAGGTGTGCCCGAGTTTGCGCCCCAGGTGTGCCCGAGGTGTGCCCCAGATGTGCATCGGCAGATTACCGAGTTACCTGATATGAATATTTTCATGATATGAACTCGGTTTCTGTTGTATTTATAAAATTTATTATGTTCTCAGGACATTATGAACTCCAAAGTTCTTGAACGCCGCGCTCAACACACGTTCACGGGTAATCATCAGCTCTCAGTGTTCACGATTACACTGAGACAGGGATCGGATAAAATTCTCGGAAAACAGTAAAATTAACAATATGGCTTTATTTCGTGCGGCGTGCTAGCCCTCATTTACGTTCGTCGCGGGCATTATGATTATCGCGTGGGGTATCACTATCATGGTATTGTAATTTAGCAAGTACTAGCAGGAACCCGTATAACCCTAAAATGGTGTCAAGACTCAAGAGACTAAAATAATTATTACCTATTTAATTCGCGTTTTTGACACCACTTAGGGGTCCAAATTTTGGGCTCTAAAATTCCTATTCCTTGGCCGACTTTTTGTTTTTTCATGCTGATTTGGAGGCCATTAAAGCATTTGACCCAGTCAAAAAAGTTTCAGTTGTATATCTTTTACGGTTTTTGCGGAAAGTCGCGTTAAAGTTGATGCCGTGGTGTCAGTAAAATGGCACGGCGTGCTAGCCCTCATTTACGTTCGTCGCGAGCATTATCGCGTGGGGTATCACTATCATGGTATTGTAATTTAGCTAGTATGTGGTATATTCTGTAAAAAGTGTTGGTACCAAAAATGCATGTATGACGAAATTATATTATATTTATAATTATAAAACTGCGTGACATGCGGTTAAATTAACATTTACTACTCTACTATAATTCTAATACCTAATCTAGAGGTACGTATAGTTATTATTAATAACTATACGTATTAATAATAATATTAAGCACATTATCACTACTTATGTAAGTTATTATGTTCAATGTGGAAAATAAAGGGTGCTCTACAATCTAAATCTATAAAACGGAGTACGCGAGTTACCGGGGGCTCCAAGATAAGGTCTCGGGGTCCCCGCATAATTGATAATATTCAATTGTGCTACAAGTATAGAGTCTTTTCTTGCTTGCTGTATTAAAAATCAATTGGAAAATTATCGTTAATGTTGAAAAAAAGCGTAAAAAATGGTAACACTTTTGGATTTTTATTGGGTTCGATTTTGAATGCCTTCAAGCGTTCATTTTAATCATTATTATTATTATAAAACAGGATCTTACCGACAAAAATGATTCTTAAAAATACCTTAATGCGGTAAACTGTACCCTTGAAAAAGATTTTCCCAACATCTGTTGCATGCAGCTATGTCTCTAATTTCGTTCAATTCATGAGAGCTGTCCATTTGCAGATTTCTACTATTTAAATCACTTCTTAAAACCGATAACAAGTTCATTCTTGGTCTCCCCAATCTTCCAATGATTAAATTATCTGATTCAATAGCAAAATATAATCATTTTAATGTCCGTTCAAAATTATGAATATGTCCGCACACGCAATGTCCGGTCAAATAACGTCAAATCAGGTCTAAGGTATTAAGGAAAAAAAAGTTCTTCTTAAAAAATAAAAGACTGACATCACATCGGAAAGCCTGAAGAAGCTTTAAAAATAGATCCATCTCATGTATTTTAGCTCAGAGGATACTTTGATAGACGTTATTATTCAAATATAATTCAAAAATTACTTACAAGTTCGTGAGCAATAAATGTTATAAGGACCCAACATAAAATATTTCCGCTTGTTACGGTAGAATCAGCAAATTTTTCTTTTACACAGCTGATGTCAAATTATCAATCTGAAGAATGTACCCAACTCACGCTTAGTCAACCTAAAGCGAACTTACAGTTATTGTAGTTATAGGATTAACAGACCTGATAGACTTGTTAAATCTGGAGTCAAAGTTAATCAAAAAGTCGATTTACCTAGAAGACAGAAATTAGTACCTATCAAGAATACGACTAAGGAACATAAATGAACACACGAAAAGAAACCGAAGTAATTATGTGCATAGTCCGCTCATTATCTTGTAACTTTGTTGAATATACTTGAATATAACGCAAATAACCAATTGTACATAATCTTGAGATTATGTTGACTATTAATTAATCTATTGTGTTGCGGTCCCTCACTAGTAGACAGTTGGAGCCAGTGTGGGCCTATCATGGGCCTACACTTATCAGCTGTTTAAGGTCTAAATTGTGTTATAGGCTAGTTTTAAAGTTGAAAATCGAATAGTTGCACACGTGGGGACACGCCCAAATTGATCTAAAATTGCTAAAATCACTGAAAATTGTTATTTTCACGATTTTTATCAACTTTTGAGTCCCGCTGTGATCCAAGTTCTTTTTGAAATCTTCTGAAACTTTGCATGCTTATCAAACTATATATTAAATACCACTATGCAAAAATGTACGGTGATTCAATATTGTATGCGCACGCAACGTCCGCTCAAAGTTTGCACGTGCGAAAGGTGAGAATTTTGCTCATTCGTGATTTCGAATATATTCTTCTTTCCCACGATATTTAAATGGCATTATATATGAATTTAATGCCAACTTGAATAAGTAAAAAGTGCCATATTCAGTCTGTTATCGACAGATATGCATACCTAAAACAAGGAAACGTTTTCAAAGGTAAAATTTCGAAATCGTTGAAATTACCTCCTTATTAATGAAGTTTCGACTGTGTAAATTATCCTGACATTATAATCAAAAAGAGATGATATTTGACCAAAACCATGAGCCGTGCGCGCCACCCGACTACCATGAGCCTTATCATGGGTAGAGTGAAATCGATGAAATCGGTCGCTCGCATTCATTGATCACGGCTTACGAATTGTAATAAAGCTTATTGAATGGGAAAAGCAAGCGACCGATTTCATTCTCGGTATCAATTTGCATTTGCGGACGGTTCCTCAAATTAATATCATTTTCTTTTGTTTGGAAAAAGAGAGAGAGACTGGCAGCGGTTCACTCTACCCATGATTATGGGTTCTGGTCAAATTGTAAATATATTATATTTCAGTATTATGTAACTGTATGTAAGTGTAACGCGATGGAAATATTTTAAGCGGGTATTATCTGGTCCAAACTCAGAATACATAACATTAACAATAACATGATATGAAGACTTTCAGTTTCATGTTGTAACTTTGTATGAAAAGCATTAAATTTAATACCTTTGCATTTGTGAGCACAATATGGACAAAAACTCATGCGTATGCCATAGGTCTACTTGTTCCAGAACCACGTGCCTAATATAAGAACAACTTGTTCATTTGAAGAACTGTGAAAGTTTCTTTGAATTCGCCGCGATTTTTGAAGTTTTTGCCGCGATTTTGCCTAGTTGCCAAACTTATCGCGGCGCCGCGATTTTTGGCCTAAATAATTGCGATTTTCTTTTGTCCTTAGCTATCACATATCAAAGTTATAATCAAGTCAAGTTTGACTTAGTTCTTTTTGTAATTCTATAAGAATAATTAATATTTATTGTGTTCTGTTTAAATCAAAGTTTTAATATGATCGTTCAGACTTCAAAACACTATAAATGTATAATGGAGCACTTGGAGCACTTTAAAAAAAAAGGTTAAATAATGTTCCATTATTGATAATGATATTGATACAGCTTGAACTAAACAATCACAAAATTTGGTTATTCCCTGGTTCATAATTCCGGTCTAATGTTTATACTGTTAGTGTTATCGTTATCATTATCAATATCAATACAATTACAACTGCGTTATAAATATCGGGTTATGTGCTAACGGGTGATACTGATACATAATACATTAACACACGCTGTAACCCCTTTTGAGCGGCCGGCCGTGCACGAGAGGTATACAACGTGTAGCAAACAATGCAGGATACTGATACTCGTTATACTTATAGTCGTAAAAATCAAAAATAAAATACCGTCGAAGAGTCCAATCCGGCGCGCGTCTTCATGGTAGGTTATACTAGTGTCGTATCACAGATCATAACTATCATATAGAAACTAGACATTAAATTAGTGTAATCATCTCAAAACCACCTTTTTCTATATGATGATGATATATTGATAAAATATGTGAATGCGAAGAGTTGGACTTGGAGGACTTCGCCGCTTCGACATGCCGCGCGCACTGTCATGCTTGCTTAACTTCTCGTGACGAGATCGTACCGGACCTACGTACGAGCTGGAACAGATTGACATCGTCAATCAATTTTAATGATTGTATAATACAAAATAAAAGCAGAAAATTCATTTCAATTAAGATAATTAGTCAATAAATATAAATACAATTTAATGTTAACCACAGTATTTCAATTTGACTGGCCGTTGTAATATTAGTAGAAAGAAAATCTGCAAATAAAGTTGTATATATGTATAAGTAAAGTTATCTCATTATCTGGTAAACACTCTAACAATAAATTCAAGTTCACTGCTGATTCTGATTTCTGATCACCAATTTTTTTTATCTAGACACTTATTTTACTTCGGTGTATTCCAACAGCCACAATGTTACACAAGTGCAACCAGCCAATTACAGGAAGCCGAAGGATCTTTTTGGCCAGTGACGGTTAAGGTAGTGTGTACCATACTTTCTTCGTCCGAGACTTTGCTGCAATGTGCAGCTCCTCATTTAACCCTCACACCCGATTTCTCGAGTATTCGGCTGAGTAGACCGGGGGGCTGCATAGACCACTCATGATCCTTAGCTGAACGTCGACGACGCTCACCCCACGACCAGGCAGTCAGTGGGTCTCGAACTCGCAACCTAACGATTGTAAGACAGGCGTTCTAACCAACTGCGCTACCTGGCCGTAAAACAAGTGACAACGAATATCAAGGAATTTTATTGTATAAACTGTAAATTGTATTCTCTCCGAAATATTATATATATATATGATACATATCTGTATTTAATTTAACATTAACAACTAAGCTAATTAAGGGATATTTGTTGATAGAATAAAAAAATTGGATTATTTACCGTGAACCCGGGTATGCAAATATTTAACAATATTTTTATACTAATCTGATCGTTTCTGAAAAATAAACTTAAACTCCAGTCCTGCTGGAGATATAGAGGTCAAGTCTAATATAAACAGTAAGTATAAACAGTTAAAATTCTAATCAATTTACAATACATACAATGCAACTGCCAGTATCCACTATAGTTCATATAATATGTAACATTAAGTTATGTAACAGTTAATAATAGTAAGTAACGAAACTCTACTGATAACAATTAACGAGGGAAGACAGAGCGTGAGCGAAAGCTTTAGAGTTATCACTGAAGGTACAGTTTGTAGCACACAACCCAGGCCCTGTGCTCATAACGTCCGGGTCACATGGACACAGGGACGGAGGTCGGGGGGACATCACTGATATCTTACTCCGCAACCTGAAGTATTGTTATTAAGTATTATTATATTATTAAGTTAAAATATTATATTAGAAGTATTATTATATTATAACTTTTTATTTAGAATTTAAACAAGTTCTTCATATCATAATCATTATAAAGCCAACACTTCCATTTTGGTTAGTTTGTTTACTTAATAAGGCCCCTTCCAGCCATTGCCACTGCGAATTTAACCTAAAATCCTGCCTACTTAATTGTGAAGTCTGTGATATTATCACTCCCGCCTGATTATCTAATCTTCCCAGTGCAGATCAGAGTGTTTATCAATAAATTCGTAGGTTTTTATCTTAATTATTAATGGCAAAACCTGCCTCATAAACTAGTGACCTGCATCAACAGCGCAAGTAATTATTAGCAGGATAGTGCTATTAACGTGACAGGATTTGAGCGAACGTAAATTCGTTGATAATTTATTAAAAGTTATTTTTGTACGTCATAATTTCGATACCATAGTTTTACGGAAATGATTATTATTCTTTGGCATTCTAGGACATTAGGACTATTCTAAAATTAGATGAACATAAAGACTTACCGTTTTATAAGGCGGTCACTCTGAGATGAGATTTTCTTGTTTTTCTGTACGGTTCGCTGAATTCGCTTTTCTAAGGAGACTTCCTTGGCCGGGGATTCTGCTTTACATTTGATGATAGCCTGAAAACACTTTCATGAAAAACTTCGCAAGTAAATTGAAACACCCGAAGGGGAGGGGCCGGGGGGGGGGGGGGGGGGGGGGAGGGAGGGGGGGAATGGCATACATTTTTGTTTAAAGAAAATTTTCGGCCCGAGTCATTCTCGGTATGTAAGGCAGAGCTCCCGCTTCCGAGCTCGTATTGCAAAGGGGATGCCTGCCTTCCGAGATTGCATTAGAAGGGGGAACCGTCGAGTCCAAAATCGTACATTGAAGGGTAGGTGCGGACTTTGAAAATCGAAAAAGTATTTTGGGCTAATAATGATCAGGGTAGCATGAATCGTGAACAAAAGCAGTTTCCAGAAAAACTTTGAAAAGATTTTGACTTAAAAAATGTTCGGTCCGAGTCATCCTCGATACGTTCCTCTGAAGGCAGGGCTCCCGCTTCCGAATTCGTATTGCATAGGGTAGGGCCGGTAGGCCTGCCCTTCGAGATCGCATTACATTTCAAAGGGGAAGCCTCGACTCTAAGATCGTATATCGAGAGTGATTTGAGGACTTCGAAATCGGGATAGAAAACATGAAAACTTATAAATCGCGGAAATTATTTTTACAGGATTGTTTTTAGCTTGGAAAGGCAATTAGTACCAAATTTAAATAGCATAAAATTGACAATCGCCTTAATGATTCTGATATTAAGTCTAAATTTTTTGATTCTTTTAAAAGTAATATTGATTGTAGAGTTTTAACTAATAATGCTATTTCTGAAAATTCTGATATATTTGGTATATTGAGTAAATGTGCCGTCCAGGTGGTTGGTAAAGTGCCCCCGGGGAAGCCTCATCAGTACAGCGACGATCCAACTGTCGTTAAACTTTCAGCAGAGAGAAAGTCCCTTCAGCAAGAATGTAGCCTCACAGGGACAAGCGACAGGAGTGACCTCAGAAAAAGAATCAACCATCTCAAACGTACCATCAAAAAGAGGTTGAAATCCATCAACGAGGCCACTGCTAACGCCCTAGTAGATGTCATCAACAACACTGACAGCTGCAGAAGCATGTTTGAAGCGAATAGAACATTGGCCCAGTGTAGGATGAAGAAAGACGGAGTGACTGTCCACGATGCAGACGGGAACACCTTAGGTTCTGACTCATTAAAAGCAGAAGCTATTAAAGAATACTTTAATAATGAGTTCAATGATAAAGATGAACCCCACCTCCCAGCATTCATAGACCCTCGATCCTGGAAGCCTCCTCTGTCCCATAACACCTGAAGAAGTTGGCCGTGCTGTTATGAAGCTGAAATCCGGTAGAGCGTGTGGCCCTGACGGTATACCTAATGAGCTAATGAAAGCTGCTGGATATCCCCTCCACTGTGAGTTGGCTAGGATCTATAATCTCTCCTTTGAGACCAACACATACATCCCAGCTATTGGAGAAGGTATCCTGACACCCCTTCAGAAGCCAGGAAAACCCCGAGGTCCGATAAAGTCTATCCGGCCCCTCACATTGCTAAATGGAACTAGAAAAGTCCTATCCCTCGTAGCCTTGAACAGAATCAATTACCACGTCGATATGTACACTGGACCTTGGCAGGCGGCATACAAGCAGGGTCGCAGCTGTGCTGACCTGGTATGGTCTCAGAGAATGTTGACATCAGTGGTTACCAGGCGCAAGTTTGAGTATAGTAAAATCAACATTGACATGACCGCTGCGTTTAATACTATCCGCAGACAGACCATCATCAACCTCCTCATTGATGCAGGATGCTCTAGAGACGACATTCGCCTAGTTCAGTACCTCCTCTCAAATACAAAGCTCAAGGTGACGGTCAACAGATCTGAGTCTGGTGAATTTGTGATTAATATTGGCGCTTACCAGGGAGACAGTCTGGCTGGTAAAGTGTTTACATTGACCCTTGCCGGTGCCCTGAATCACATCAGAGCCGTGATCAGTGTCACGATTCCTAGACCGAACCCCCCAGTCTCTGATAGAGGCCTCCCGTTAGAGTCCGCCTATGCTGACGATGCTGAGCTTCTGAGTGAAGATGGTCAGAGCCTGGTGAAGATACTAGAGATTGCCAGTGATATACTAAAGGATTGGAGTCTCTTTGTTAACGAATCAAAGACGGTGTTTACAAGAGTGTATTTGGCAGATACAGATGCTTTAGATGCCCATGGCAATAAAATTAGAGGAGATGAAGAGTGGCGAGAGTCAGTGCTATTAGGATCAAAGCTCTGTTCAGAAAGAGATATTGTCAACAGACGCAACAAAGCCAATGTTGCCCTCTACACCTACAAGAAAGTCTGGTTGAATAGTTCTGTTCAGATCAGTGAGAGTAGAAAGCTGAAGCTGTACGAAGCTCTTGTCACTTCAGTGTTGTTGTATAACTGTAGCAGCTGGGCTGCTCCTGAAACCGTAATGGCATCTGTCGACGTTCTTCAAAGGAAGCATCTGAGACAGATAATCAACACCTATTGGCCTACGGTTATCAGTAACGAGAATTTATATAAGAGATGTAACATCAGACCCCTTACTGAAAGGATCAAGAAAGCAAGATGGAAGATGCTTGGGCACGTTCTCAGAAGCGGTGATGACACTCCCGCCTTCTTATCTTTCAGATTTGCATGTTTAGGATGTCTTGACTACAAAGGAAGGAGGGGCAGACCTCGTTCAAATTTATTTGATTTATTATTAAAAGACATTATGACAAAGAACATTATTGTGATTGTAAATAAAAGATTTAGTTTAAGTAATTTCAACGATTTAGTGTACAAAGCTCATGATAGACGCTTATGGAGAAGCTATGGGTGAGTCGAGACTACTCGGCCACTCGATTTTATGATTTATTTTCTATTATCTTGTGTTTGCTGTATATAGTTGATTAATAATAAAATTGAGACTTTTTCTATGGAGAAAATGAAAAAACCCTTCCGTTATTCTCCATTTTAGTATAGCCTCCCCTATCTCGCTTCTTCTGACCTGGTTAACGAGCTGCTCCGCAATAGTCCGATCTCTCTCTGATTGTTGTCTCAGTTTGTTGGCAGCAGCTTTGTGTTCCAGTTCTCTGACTCTCTCCTTCATACGCTGTCTCTCTAGAATACTATACGCTCTCCGGCTTTCCTTCAGTCGGTGTATCCTACAGTTCATTACATAAAGTTTACTTTTTTAATTGACAGTCGATTCAATCAATAAAAAAAAAATCCAGATCAAGTCGAAATTATAAACAAATTTGTCAGTGTATTTTACTGTCTAAACTCTAAACGAACCTCACGGCCTCGGAACTGGGTTTAGCTCTAGAAACCGCATTTTCCTTATCACCATCTCTACTGTCAACAGCAGCTTCACTTTCACTTTCACTTTCACTTTCACCATTGTCTGAGGCTGTGCAGGATATGGTGACTACTTCTGTCTTCTCCCCAGCCAGCTTACTTCTTGCTAACTTATTGCTTTTAACCAGCATGTCCGTTTCTTGTTTTTGTGCTGCGATTCTACTCTTTGTTCCCTTAAAAACGTTAAACTGACTTGCCAAATAACATTAACAACATGAGTATTTTGGCTTTTAATAAAGTATTACATACATAATATGAATGATAACCTGAAGTCTGAACCTTTAATATTGAGTTGTATTACAGCAGTATCAGATTGTGTAACAGGATACTTTAAACCACCAGCTACCTTACTGATAATTCAAACTCCCATATTCGTTCTGCAGTTTGTTGCTTAGTGCCTGATGTTTAGAGGGTCTATCTTGATTATTACCTTTCTCATTCTGACACGGGCAGGTTTGTTTTTTAGTTTAAGATACCTTTTTTAACTGCAGATCACTGATATGAATTATGACAATATGATTTGCTTCGTTAATATTATGACATCAAGATAACTGAACTATGTGGTAATTTTTCAACAAGATAATACAATTTGCACAAAACTTCCAGTCAGGTTGGTCAGCTGCTACCTGCTACCAGTACCCCTTAAGTATAAACTATTAAAGTAGAAACTAATTAAGTATAAACTTATTAAGATAACGGACGAGTATTTCAGATGCGGAATTCCGGCGTATAGATATCTCAGGGAACACTATTACTTACGGAAGACAGGAAGGGTTACTATTGTACAACGGAGGGACCGTCTGTCGTGATCTCTTCAACATTACTGCCGCTCATGCTATTTGCAAAGAAATGGGATTTGGAGGTGCCCTTGAGTGGACATTTGGAATGAAATGGCAGATTCAGAATAGTTTTACCGTATTATTAGACGACGTTATTTGTCGACTGCCCTATTGGTCATCTTGCAGCTACATCAATACACCAAACCGTTGTAATCATGGGGGGGATGTTTTTGTGACCTGTTTACCAAGTGAGTCTCACTGCCAAATTAGGCCGATATCAGAATACGCAGATATCACCAAAAAACAACATCTTTTCTTTTGAAGAAAGATTAAGCCTACGCAATTTCCAAGCCTCTTGAGCGGAGACTAGAAAAATTAAGTAAAGAGTTAACACATCTACCACATCTACCACATCTACCAAAAGAGTTAACACATCTACCACCTTCAGGGGTAGCATCAGTGTTCCAACTGGTAGACTCGTCCGGTAACTACATCACAACCGGAGAACAAGAAGGCCTACTTCTGCACAACGAGGGTACTGTTGGTAGCAATAACTTCAACTCAACTGCAGCTCATGCTATCTGCAAAGTTATGGGCTTTACAGGAGCGCTCCAGTGGACATCTGGACAGAAGTGGCATATCCAAACAACCTACCCAGTGTTAACTGACACTGTTCAGTGTTCCTTGGCTGATTGGTCAACCTGCAACCTCTCTGATTCTCACTACCACGGTCATGATAGAGACGTGTTTATAACATGTTCGGGGTCCCGCAGTTCGTTCTCTTTAGTCAACAAAGGAGGGTACACTGTGTCAGGTAATTGGTTCTTATTAACGTTTTATCAATGACAGTATGGGTTTCAAGTTTGAGATTAGAAAAAGATAAGATTTAAGAATTGAAGATTGTTGAAATTGCCCATGGATTGAGTCAGCCATTATCCATATTCCAGGTAGCCAGGAGTTTTTACTGCTTTATAACGGGGGGACAGTTTGCGGGGACCAATTCTCCAACAACTCGGCTGATGCAGCCTGTCGGGACATGGGTTATTCTGCAGCTGAGAGTTGGCGAGTTGCCCTGTCTTGGGGCAACTACCGTATAGCACTAGATGATATGAACTGCACTGGAGGGGAGTGGAGGACGTGTGGATACACTACGTCTCACAATTGTGTTCACGGTAAGGATATATACATCTCTTGTAAATCAAGACAAGATAGTAGCGGAAGCAGCAAAACTATAGATCGGAGGGGTGAAGAGGAAAAGTTGGAGGCTGGTGAGAATCTGGCCATAGCGATCTTGATTTTAGCTTGTACCGTTTTAGTTTTTCTTTTGGTGAAGAAGAACTCTCAGATTGACCAAAAAGATTTGCAAATTACCCGAAAAGATTTGCAGATTGCTCAACTTTTAAAGAAATTGGAAAAAATCAATTGATTATTCCCCTTATTCTGAAGAGACTTTAACCAAAACGAAAAAAAGAGACTTAATTAGCAGACTGTTACCTGAGAGTTGATGGCCACAAAAGGTGAAGCTACGATAGGAGGCTTCTTAACCGGGTCAACACTTTTCATCAACAGGTTCTCAGACTCAGTGAGTTGCAGGGTTCTGTCTACCATGTCTTGTTGTTCCCGCACCTTCATTACCCTCAACCGTTCTTTCACTTTCAGTTGGAATTCCGCTATTTTCCTCTCTTTTTCCGCCTGAAATATAACCTTGTTCATGATCAACATATTTTTCCTCCTAAAACAATCGTGATTCTAGAGACATACAATATGATGCAGACTAAAAAATAATATAATATTTTCGATCCTAATGAACTCTGAATGTTTGTTGACTAACTTGGTATTTCTGGTACGCAATGCGTTGGTACTGAGCCTGAAGTACGGCATCACTATCTCCACAGTACTGTTCTGCTAACGGTAACGGCTCCGAGAAGCCACTCCTGATAATTCGGTTAATTGTATTAGTGAATGTTATCAAATCTTGATTAAACCTTGATCTTGTTTTTCAGGTTTGCCAACAAATATGACCATTTTATTTATGATAAAGGATAAGTGTCAAATATTTCCAACAATTTTCACTTCTTCTAAAATTGCCTCTTTGCTAAACTGTAAACTTGTTTCAAAGTACGTAATACGTGCAGACTGCAGTGCGAAAATTACCGTAAGTTTAAAAGTCTAAATGCTTTGTATGGGATAGTCAGCAATTTTGGCCTGTGCTGTAAATATTGTAGCATCAGCAGTTAGAGGCTATATAAAACCTACCAGTCGCTCATTGTGACATAACTCGGCCCCCTAAAATTCCTCTTTTTAACATTATTTAAAGGAATCAAAGATCGAAAAAATTTGCATTGATTTTATTGAAAGGAGTTAGTCTAGATAAATTGAAGCATGGTTATATAAACCTGACAGGAAGGTTACAAGTAGCGATATGTCTCTGTCCACGAGGGAGTTCTATTTTCCCCGTGACACCGTGTAAATCTGTCATCAGACGTGGGGTGGAGATGTTCTCAAGAGCCATATCCTAGGTGATATCGTTAGTTTGAATAATATTATGTGACTACTGATGCTTTTAAACTGGATACTTGTAATATTAAAATGAAAATTTCGTCGTCAGATCACTCTCGATTAGATCGTTAAACAATAAATAGCGCGCCAAAATAAACGGTATCATCAATAGTCTCTTGGCGCGTTCCAACAGAAATTTCAGTAGACCTGGGGGGGGGGGGGGTGCAACCCAAAAAAACCCAAAAAAACCCAATCCCAGTATTACCTTTTTCAGGGTAGGAGTTGGGTTTTTTTGGGTTTTTTACAAATTTTTCATTTGAAGGAAATAAAATCATGTAGGCACCTAGCAAAACAATTATCAGTACAACATCACTGTTGTGGTTCATCACTACAACATCACAATAGATATAATCGCTTAAATATCACACAAAAGCAGTATTTTATTCACTGATGTGCTCAGAAGAAGTTGGCCATCCAGATAATATGATATCAGCCATATGTAATGCTCATTTCGATGGCCATGGCAAATTGAGTTAGTAGGGACGCAACTCACTGATGACCCCAACCCTGACCGCAACCGGTACGAGAGGAATAAAGCCTTTCTTCTCACCTTCACGATCTCTGTTTCCGTTTTCCTGATCATCCGCTTAACGAGAAACCATGCTCTATCTCCAACTGAAAGAATCTTGCAGTTACTATCAGCAGCATGATCACATGTGATATTAAGTGATATCTTCGCTTGTTTATGGCCCTGGAGTCGCTAAAATCTTGACTGGGATGGCATTCGATCTCGTTCTCCATTGAGGCAAACCTCAACAGCCGTATCATGATGCAGAGCATCACCATACACACTACACAGTTACTATTTTCGCCCATTCCTCTGATGAGTCAATATCCTCCACTTCCTCTTCTTCATCATCTGTTTCCGCTTCGTCACTCTCTGCTCCGTCAGAAGATGGTTGGAAAGCCTCTCCTTCAAAGTTACAGTGTTCTTGAAGGAGTTCTCTACCCCTTGAGACTCCCTTCTTCATAGCTTGGAACAATCTTGGGATTGAAGTATCTTTACCTCTAAATAGTTTCTCTGCTTTCGGATGCGGTATAACAAGCTTGTTGTGAGAGTGGGCAACTGTTACAGGGATCAAACTTTTGCCGAGTGCATCAAGCTCGAGGGAACGGTTTGATTTGCCCATGCCAACCAACATATCCTTAGAACACAGATTAGTTCTAATGCCTGCATGGAGGCCTATGCGCAGGAAAGCATAAAGTTTGCTCGCAGGCATCAGATGTAAACAGCCAGGGCATAAAGTGTTGATAACTGTTGTCAGCTGTTACACTGAGAATGTACAGCATCAGACCCTCGACTGTAATAATCGCATCATCAACATTTTTACAAGTAGGCAGGTGGTCTTTCAATGGTTGTGTGAAGCTTAGGTGGCCCAAGGCGTCAACGCTGGATAGAAGCTGGGTGGAAGCCCTGATCTGATGTGAGGCTCCCAGAACTTTGAAAAGGGGTATTCTGCTGGTGCCCTCTTCCAGACACTCATCGGAAAGCATGATGGAAGCCACTACTATACCTCTGCGTGGTGAAGACTGGATAATGGACAGGGGGTCCAGGCTAAAGGCAGGACGGTCGACGGGAGACATTGAGCCCCGGAAGTTCAATAATTTGATCTTTTGACTCTTGGTCTACAAGAGGCTTTGAGAGTCGTAAATCTTTACTGTGGATTGCACAGTAGCTAGAGGTGTTGGCTGTTACCCTGTTCAACCTAGTCTACTATGACCACACTCTGATAGTCAGGATACGGCTCCCTATGCCAAGGCATGGGCTGCCTACCACAAAATGAAGGCTACATGGAGGTCCAATTTGCGCCGAGATTTAAAGATCCGTCTGTTTCAAGGCTACAGTTGAATCAATCTTCCTGTATGGAACAGAAACGTGGACAATGACATAATCTTTGAAAAGAATAGACGGATGTTACAGTAGAATGCTTTGGATGGCCCTAAACGTGGACTGGAGAGAACATCGCACCAACAAAGAGGTCTTTGGATCACTCCCAAGAGTTAGTTCGAAGATACAGGCCAGAAGAATGAGGTTGGCTGGGCACATCCAGAGATCCAGCGATATGATGACCTGGCAGTACACCAACTTCTCCTTCGGGAACCTAGCCATGGGACCAGAGGGAGGGGCAGACCACCGCTCACCTTCGTCGATAACCTAATAAGTGACACCGTACTCAAGAACACTGGGGAGATTAAGGAGCTTATGGCGGACAGAAAACTTTAGAGACACATCATTGAGACTCGGACTCTGAAGCCGCCTTAAGTCAAGTAATTTAAGTCATGTGCTTTGACTTGCCCTTGACCTTCGTCATAGCCTCTTTCAATGACAGGAGAACACATTTGCAAATGTCCACTTTCTGCATTCATATGGATTATATCTCGATGAACTAGACATCCTCTTTGCTATCGTGATAACATAATTTTATTATAAACACACTTATATACTATGTAAACTATGTATTAAGTTAAGACATGAGAACAACACGTAGGTAAGACTCAGTGGGAAATAATTCACATTCAATACAATAAATGAAATGGCTAGAATTTTGTTTAAATTTTGTTTAAAAAACCCAAAAAAACCCAAAAAAACCCAATCCCAGTATTACCTTTTCTTGGGTAGGAGTTGGGTTTTTTTGGGTTACACCCCCCCCAGACCTTTTGTCGTAAAATTTCAGAGGATGTTTTCCAATGAGTTGTATCCTGCCCCATCCGTATTCTTAATTATTATTATTACAAGAATCAAAGATTCATCGTGCATCTTCTATTCAAATAAAATTTCAATCAATTGATTGAATAGCCTGTCTGATTCGTTATGGATTGGCAAATTGATTGATTAAATGGCTAATTATATATTAATTCAATAATCAATTAATTGGCCAATTAGTCGTTAATTATTAAACCAATATCATCAATCGATTATATAACTAAACAGAGCCATTTAGGGTTTAGTAATTATGTTATTAGATGTAACTGGAATTGAGCGGGAAGTTTATCTGGGCTAGCATGAACAACTATGGGCACGAGGGAAACTTTAAAAACTCAATAGTATGCGTAGTCGAAGATGCTGCTAACGTTACAGGTGCCGATTTGGAAATGAGATTAAAAGCGGCTTATTTTCTGTAAAGATAAATAATAAATATCTGAAAATGTTACAACGCCTATTTACAAATACTTGACAGTTATAAAACTCTTTGAGTCAACCCTTCGGGTAAAAAATGCTTCAAAGCTGAGAAAATCTCCTGTAACACACACCCTTCTCAATTATCATTCTTGTTCAAATCCCGTAAGAACCTCTCTCTATCAAGAGAAATAACTCTATCAGGCTTGCTGGGTAGCTCCACAGCACACGTGGTCATTAAAGCCACAGTAAGCAGCTGAACCTCTGTATCATACTGAGCACCACTCTCCATGGGAACCACATCGTAGGGCAGCTCAATGTCCAGGAAGTACTTGGCAGGGTGGGCATGCAGGGTCAGTCTGTCTTCTCCTACATCTAGAGTTAGTTTAGAAGAGGACTCTATTCCTGGTAGCCACACTTCTATTATCAGGTAGTTTGGAGTTCCTTCTATCGGCTCCTGAAAGTATCATTATTTAAATTGTAATCTTTTATAATTGCTAAAATCAGGCTTGAACAAAAATAAGAACCCCTCAGAATAATTATACAGATTCCCTTGATATTGTGTACTGATTCTAGCCTGATCAAAACAGAAAAAATTAATCTCAATATCTAAGTACATGCAGATTTAAATCGGGGCACGGTAAATTGGGGTTTTACTAAACAGTAAACACCCCTAACCTGAAGGAGGATGTATGTTTTACTGAACACCCCTAACCTGAAGGAGGATGTATGTTTTACTAACCTGAAGGAGGATGTATGTTTTACTAACCTGAAGGAGGATGTATGTTTTACTAACCCGAAGGAGGATGTATGTTTTACTAACCTGAAGGAGGATGTATGTTTTACTGAACACCCCTAACCTGAAGGAGGATGTATGTTTTACTAACCTGAAGAGTGAAGGAGGATGTATGTTTTACTGAACACCCCTAACCTGAAAAAGGATGTATGTTTTACTAACCTGAAGGAGGACGTATGTTTTACTAACCTGAAGGAGGATGTATGTTTTATTAACCTGAAGGAGGACGTATGTTTTACTAACCTGAAGGAGGATGTATGTTTTACTAACCCGAAGGAGGATGTATGTTTTACTAACCTGAAGGAGGATGTATGTTTTACTAACCTGAAGGAGGATGTATGTTTTATTAACCTGAAGGAGGACGTATGTTTTACTAACCTGAAGGAGGATGTATGTTTTACTAACCTGAAGGAGGATGTATGTTTTACTAACCTGAAGGAGGATGTATGTTTTACTAACCTGAAGGAGGATGTATGTTTTATTAACCTGAAGGAGGACGTATGTTTTACTAACCTGAAGGAGGATGTATGTTTTACTAACCTGAAGGAGGATGTATGTTTTACTAACCTGAATCTGAAGGAGGATGTATGTTTTACTAACCTGAAAGAGGATGTATGTTTTACTAACCTGAAAGAGGATGTATGTTTTACTAACCTGAAGGAGGATGTAGTCGGGTTTAGGAGCGGGTTGAGTGTGTTTACTGGTTTTCTTGACAGGTCTCTTACTTGTACTCTCCGTCTTCTCCATCTCCTGTATAACTGGTTTACGGTAAGTTCTGATCATGTGCGGTTTAACACGGCCCACGTGCGTTCGGTTCTTCAGTATCAACCAGTCCCACTCTAGTTCAATCTGTGGGAAGTAAATAAGGTCAACAGCTTTTATTACTTGCTTTTTTAAAAAAAAATCGCAAGAAATCAGTTGCTTAAGTTAACAAATTAGGAATTTTTGGCTTTAAACTTTCAAACCGTAAACAGACCACTATTATATTGAAGTGGAATATTATTAATCCAGAGAAAAGCTATAGCTGCATTGAAAACTTTGATCTTACATTAAACTTAGCAGTAAGACCTTCAAATACAACTTGAAGGAAGAAGTTCATAAAGGCTGGTTCCTCCTTGATGGTCTTTACGTAGTTAGGGTTTATAGCTATATCGTGCACACTGCAACCCTGGCCTTTCTTGTCCACCTGAAGAAACATTAATTGTTATTTTAATTAGTAATTGTGACAATTGTAATGAATAAATCAGATTTCAATTTCAATTTCCAAAATAATTTATTAGAAAGATATTAAAATATTCTTTAAAGGGGGAACTAAACCTCTGCATGCGGAGTCTCCCCAATACTCATTGGTATTCTGTAGTCAGCCGCTAACATTTCCTCTTCACTATCCAACATTTTCACCAAGTCGTCTACAGTTTTCTTCCTGAGACAACTTTCTGTTCAGTGCCGATATTTTGTGACACTGTGAAACATAAATCGATATTTCGTAAAATAAAATTGCTATTTTGATTTAAGTAACGATCACTGATACTATTAGTAAGTAGAGCAAGTAAGAGTAACGATCATAGTGCTACAGAAGAGACAATATTGCTCCAATTTAAAGCTGAGTACAGAAAACGCTCATATAAAAGTTAAAACAGGGCCTCTCCGCCATTAATTCATTCTGACCAATGGTTTTATTTTTCACAAGTATTATAAATATTATGTAATAATGTGTATATAATATGTATCATGTGTATAAAGTTAAAAGCTCACTTGGGCTCTGGAATAGAGTCGGTGGTGCAAATGTTGATGAAAACTTTGTTTCCTTCTTTGTCCTTGGTCTTTACACAAAAGGTAGGCTTTGGGGCTACCTACAAAATATTGATATAATTAACCAATCAGCATATAATACAATTAACCAATCAGAATATACAATTAACCAATCAGCATATACAATTGACCAATCAAACCAGAGAATCAATGATAAAAATGCTTCACGTTCACACAATGCACATGTCCAATATACATATATGATAAACAATATAATTATAATATGCAATATAATTATAGTATGCAATCTAATTATAATATGCAATTTATAATTATAATATGCAAAATGATTATGGTCAAGTTCGGAGACAACCTGTACATTTTTTACTTTTTTAGAAGTGTGTGGTGGAGCCAGCTCAACACAGACTGAAACTCCTTGATTATATGGCTGACAAGACATTTTTCAGGACTTTCTCTGAGTAAAAAATTAAAATTAAAAGGTTGAACGGTTGAGCAGATACAGGTGGTATTAAACAAACCCTTAAAAGGTGGAGATTTAAGGTGGAGACTGGCTCTGGTTGAAGAAACTTTTGATTAAGGTGGAAAAGGTTATTGGTAACACAAACTACATCAAATTTGCAATCTGATGGTTTTATCAATATTTTATTTAAGTGCTCAACCGAGGTGGAGAAATTAAATGCACTTTTCAAAGCTGCTCAACCGGGGGTGGAGAAAGGTTTAGAGAGTTCTAGGTTGGCTAGAAAGTTGCGTCTCGGCCTTTTCTACTTCCCGTTAAATTTTGTTTTTTCCATTGACGCTCAACAGGGTGGAGATCTTTCATTAAGAAACAGTAAAAAGCCTGTCAAACATGCCTAAATTCATTGGTTTTATCACTAATTCTAATCTGCTCTGTTAACTGCTACTGTAGGGGATCATAAAACTGTTACCCCTTCTGTCTTAAAGCAAAGTGTTCTAGCAAATGAAAAAATTATCAAAGTTGTGTAAAGGTACTCAACAAGGTGGAGAAATTGTTGATTAAACATTAAAACATTAAAAAATGCATTAAAACTGGCCCCACCGGGTTGAGTTGAGCTTTGGCAGTTGATTTTTGGAAGAAATAACATTGGGTGACCCTTTAGCATGTATACAACTCATCAAACTAGCCATCAACCACTCAACCGCGGTGGAGAACCTTGACTTCTGAGGTCAAATTTACGCCCAAATTTGCCAAATTTGAGTCTCCACCTATGTTGAGTGTACTTTTCAGCAAGGATGCCTTGTAATATGAGTTGGTAGATGATTTAGAATCATTGGTATTGCAAATGGACTGCCACAGTCACTCTACAGCTCCTAAACTACAGAATACCAGATTTTGAACTGCATGTTATGCTGTCTCCACCTCGGTTGAGCCGATTCTGAGGATCCTATTCTATGAAATATGATTGGTTTAACCCATAATATTAAATATTAGGACTTTGGAGCAATTAAAAAGCATGAGAGGGTTAGTTCTAGTCACTTATATTAGCTCATGTAGTCAGTGAGCTGCTCCACCTGTGTTGAGCAGACAAACCTGCTCAACCGGCACTTTTTGAGTACCCACCTGTCTTACGTAACTTTAAATTGTGAAATTTGGAGTAAATATTTTTTTCATAAGTGATCTACAGCTCCTTTATTATTGTAATTTTCAGGTGGGCACTGTCTCCACCAAGGTTGAGTTATTTAAATCTTGAACCCAGATATCATTATAGAAAGGTTTGTAGTATAATATCTGAAGAGCCTGTACCCCTTGGACTTTCAGAGGAATTATAATTAATTTTACCGTTTATGGCAGTGAAATGAGTGTAATTAGTGACTGATTTTATGTACAGGTTGTCTCCGAACTTGACCTTATAGTATGCAATATAATTATAGTATGCAATAGAATTATAATTACACACACCTCGAGCTCCTGAGATTTGCGAGGAGTATCCCCGACCTTGACCTGGTCAATGAGTGAGCTCCAGATCTGCTCATCGTCCTGGGTCAAGTCATCATCCGGGTGTAGTAATACTTGGGAGGTCATGAGCTGCTGGGTTACAGTTGCTAGGTTACAGTTGGGAGGTCATGAGCTGCTGGGTTACAGTTGCTAGGTTACAGTTGGGAGGTCATGAGCTGCTGGGTTACAGTTGCTAGGTTACAGTTGCTGGGTTACAGCTGCTGGGTTACAGTTGCTAGGTTACAGTTGCTAGGTTACAGCTGCTGGGTTGGAGGTTTAAAACTCAGGATTATTGTGATTTAGTCGACAGAGAAACTCTTGATTTCTGTAAATTAAGTGTTCTTTAAATTTTCTGTTAAAAAATAGAGCTGAGTATTCTAGATTTTCTAGATGAAAATCTGTGGTGGAAATTTAATTTAATTAATAGAGCTGAGTATTCTAGATTTTCTAGATGAAAATCTGTGGTGGAAATTTAATTTAAACAGATACTACTGCTTTGGGAACCCAATACTTATTAATATTTTCATTAACTATGCTACGTCATAAAATCTTGACACCACTAATAATTGATATTCCAAAGGAATTAATAGCAATAAAACGATTAAACCCTGGCCTTTCTTAAAAGATTACATATCTTAATAATTCAATACATTAGACAACCTAAAATATCACTAATGATTAAAGATCTAATCAGTAATAGAAGTATCAAGATATGAAGCATGATCTTCCCAAAAAGAATCTCCAATAATATCACAAGTCAACAACTTCAAAACTTTTCTCTTTCTACCATCTTCACTTTTATTCTCATTCCAAATTATAGTTGATCCCTTTCTGTAAATTTCAGAAAGTTCATTGTAATTTACTCCAAACTCTGCAAAAAGTATTTCATTTTTATCTGCAGAAAATGTGCCTTTAAGACGCTTCTCAGCCTCAGAGTTAGACAAATTACCGTCTTGAACAAGTGCCCAAAAGCAAGTGTTGTATAAATTATTGATGTGACAATCCGCTTGCCTCCAATTGAAATAGTTCCTAACATCTCTTACTGTTGGATAAAGAACAACCCGAGCATCAAAACTAGGGGGATACAACAATCGATCATTGAAATGCTTGCTCCAATTAAACAAATAATGTGATGTGAACATGGAACAAACTGTAGATAGAATCTTGCTGCTCCGACGTCCATACAGCGTTGAGGACCGTTTGAAAATGAAACTGTATTCATCACTTTGTCCATATGCCATGAAAATGTCTTGTAGCTCTGACATAACCCCTTTAGCAGCATCGTTCATTAAGTTCAGAGCAGCCAAGTCGTTGGGTTTCTCAAAGTTGTGGTCGTTGGTGAACTTGTGAAATCCTTTTCCATCAACTCTCACAACCATCCACACGTTTTTTAACAGTTTATCATCCAGCTCGTACAGTCGAACATATTCAAACTTACTTTTAGCCATTATTGATCACTAAAGCATATTTATTTTGAGTATCACGCATAAATTAATCGATATTGGACAGATCAAATTCCTTGCAGCTATTTAAAAAAATAAAAATAGCTAAATTTAAACAATTTGGCGAACCTTGAACTAAGAAATGTACATAGAAGTTTTATTCTTTTCCTCTCCCGTGACTTATTTATCTAAAAATCTATTTATCTACCCTGACACGGAACTATATTCTTACTATTAAGGGGGCAGGGGGGGTCTTTATGAAATTTCTCTCGAAATTGATTTTATAGTTGTTTCTGATAGAGGGGAGTAATATCTATCTGCTGCTTTTGGTCCCATGGAAAAACATTGTTCCTAGCCGAATTTATTGTCGGTCAAAGGTCAGCGCTGATGTGTAATTGTATTGCGCGAGCAATTTTCAATCGCGTGCCCTGAAAATCGAGTCCAAAATTCTATCTTCTCCTACATTTTTTAAGCAATCACCTTGAAACTTTTAGGATATGTTCTAAGGACCATTTAGAAGATTCCATTCGATCAGAATTTTAAGATAGGCCTTAGAAACATTTTTATTCGATTTTGAAAATCTTGGACCTCGTTTTTTGACGATTTTTCCAGGTCTAAGATTTTCAAAATCGAATAAAAAAATTTCTAAGGCCTATCTTAAAATTCTGATCGAATGGAATCTTCTTAATGGTCCTTAGAACGTATCCTGAAAGTTTCAAGGTGATTAACCGAAAAATGTAGGAGAAGATAGAATTTTAGACTCGATTTTCAGGGCGCGCGATTGAAAATTGCTCACGCAATATAATTACACATGAACGCTGACCTTTGACCGGCAATATATTCAGCTAGGAAAAATATTTTTCCATGGGACCAAAAGCAGCATATAGATATCACTCCCCTCTATCAGAAACAACTATAAAATCAATTTCGAGAGAAATTTCATAAAGACCCCCCCTGCCCCCTTAACTTGTTAACTTTAAGAAAGACATGCAACATAAAGAAAAGAAGAGATGAGGACACAGAATTTGAGGAGCTCCTCTCTTTTTACTTTACTTCAAATAACTCTTATATGTAAAAGGAGTCTGATCAAAGAAAAAACGTCCGATTTGTGTAAGACATTAAGAATATTTTATGGGTGCTCTCTGGACTTCTAATTTTTATGCTGCAGTCGGCTTGGCCGAATGTTTGGGAAATATTTGATTGAGAAATCATTGACATGCAATTTACTGTTAATCGTAGTACATACATAGTGTCATTTACAGCTGAGCATAAGGATTAAATTTAAATTATCTAACCTTTTGGGTGTTGTATAAAGATAACATTAATGTATTATTATTATTGTAAAGTACACTCTATTATATGATTGTTGGTCGGTGGCTCTAACTCAATAACTAAGGGCTAAGGGAGAATGTTACGTCCACCTACTTGGCTGAGGTCTAATGGGATCCCTCTGATCCATTGATCAAGCTTATAACTGAACATATATTCTGGATTAAGTTCAGTTTTTTGGATTCAGTCTTGTATTATTATGGACTGCGACATCCCGAGGGTTGTCTACCATCGAGTCCAAATTATTGAGAAGATGTCACACAGAATACATCCTACTGTACTGGGAGATTTTTCGTGCAAAATGAAATTAAAGCACTTCTCCCATCAGTTGATTATATTATGGATGGAGTGTAACCCGTCGAAGCAGTGGGTTGGGAGTCCCCCTGCAATCATTCCATCCGTAAAATGTGTATTGCCATGAGTCGCTACTGCAAGCGAGAGGGCTCTGGTTAGAGCAAATATTTGCATACAACATAAAAACTACAATAACAAATAAACTATTAACAAATCTAGGAGACCTAAAAGCTCGTTTTAGCTTTTGAGTGATGATGTTGAAGGATATGGCAATCAATTCATGTATAATTATATTTGAACTTTTTTTAAACATTTAAATGACAACACAACAAATTTTATAAATTGTAAACATCACACAATTTTAAATGTGTCATTTAGTAATTGTTTATCAATTTAAATTCAAGTTTATATAGTTGTTGAAACAAACTCCCTTCAGAGGTGAAGAACTGCTTACAGTTTTGAGTTTCAAAATTGGATTGGAAAGTTTTAAAAAGAATATGATTTCTAAATGTATTGTAAATGACTTTCATTTTTGGAATGTTTTATAAATCTTTACTCCACTGGAAAGTATGAATAAATTAAAATTTTTAATGTTGGGGAGTGTTATAAAGTTGTTGTACTCTATAAGTGTATATTCACCTACAAGCATAACTGCTTGGCGTGATGAGGTACATCTTTGATTGGTCGAAGGTCTTTCAACAACACAGCATCATCACTTTCATAGTAGTCCCCGGCTTATGACGGGTTCATAGCGGTATTAAACATGTTTTTCTGGGCCCAAACATTCTACGCTCCTACTATGCTATTACTGGTCTCTTGACTAACTCCCAATCATCTGTCCATATGGTATTGTTTCTGGACAAATAGATGGTATACGATGCCCTCAGGCTGATCTCAGCGATCTTCATGCAGGCCTTCTTCTTCTCTTTGTTGTTTACGTTCAGGTGGTTCATAAAGGTTGGGAGGCTATAGTTGTAAATGCCTCGAGCTCCCACTTCTACTGTCTGGAGCTTGCAAGCCCATCCGTTGGCTTCTATCTCTTCTGTCAGCTGCTGATATCTCTTCATCTTTCGCTTCTCTTGATCAGCAAAGTTCTGCTCATTTCCACAAGTCAGCTCCATTAGATAAACCTTCTTTGCTTTATCTGAATAGATCACTACATCAGGTCTTAGTGGTGTAGCTGCAATGTGCTGCGGGAAGTTCCTCTGTCTCTCATCCTCATCAAATATTATCTTCCAGTCGTTGGCATCTGAAAAGAAATATCTTTGGGTCTTATGATGAGTTGGGTCAGCTAAGGTAACCTTCTCGCGCTTATTGCCTGCCTTGTGAAAGACCGACGGTGCCCTCTTCGATTCCTTGGCGATGTCGGAATTAAACTCTTCAATCTGTGATGAAACGGTCTTCATGATTTCACGTAGGACCTGATCATGGCGCCAGTTGAAACGTCCCTGTCTTAGTGCAACCTTGCAGAACGTCAGGATATGATTGAGTGTCCCTTGTTTGCTGCAGAGTTTACAGTTTCCTAAAACGGCTTTATTCCAAAGCTTTAGGTTGCTAGGTGTTGACGCAGTGTCATGAATAGCATTGACATGAAACTTTAACAGTTCCGGACTAAGTTGATAGATCAAGTTATTCCACGTGGTGTCAAATGTCATTGTATTTTCCCATGTGAGAAAGAGGTTTTGCCGCTTTTTGTCAAAAAGTGAACAAATAAGTGTCTCTTCATCAAAGGTCCTCACCATGTTGGTTAGCAGTTTCCTCTCTGATGTGTCCTCATATCTTGTCCCATACCCGAGGCCAGTTGTACCAACTGCAGGTTTTCCAACTAACTCTTGGAAGTAAAGTTGGCGCTGACGGTCTTTCAGCTCTTTGGGATAAGACCACATCTTCTGTGTGTCTGCAATAGCCTTATGGTTAGAGTACACTTTTTTGATGTAGGGGTCACTTGAGTTACAAAGTTGGTGTCCCTTAATAAGTTGGATGACTTTGTACTCAGTGCAGATGTTTTTCAGCTGCAATCCTTTCTGGTCTCTACTCCTGTAGAGGACGGTGGTGGTACAAGGATGCGCAATCCCTAGCCACTTCTTAAGGTATCTGTTACACAGTGCCTCAAGCTCTCTCACAAATGTGATGGGTAGGTTATAAACAGTAAACCCCCATGACATCTTACTAATGATGAGGTGGTTATACACCCACGCCTTCATTGGACCGGTGATTTCATCATTAGACGTTGTTTCCAAAAGGTCCTCTAACTTCTTCTTGATCATGGACCGAATTTTATTCATGATTAATATTTGATAAATTATTACGTTTAAATTTGATGGAGAAATAGTTATTTTTTATGTAGTGCGATGATACTTTGTAAATATTAGTGATGATATTACGTCATAATTTTTACTTTACTTTACTTTACTTTAATGATTTTTCATTTTGAAGGATAAGAAAACGTAATTAAATTGTGATGTACAGCAAAAGCAGCTCAAATATCGTTTTACAAGCCTGTCACGTGTGCGCGTCTCAGAAAATGCTTATTTGCTCACAACTTGTCGAGAAATGATTTTTATGTTATATATGTTGACCGACGACTTAACGATTGTGAGTTATGACGGACTTAACTGTATGGGTCAACTACTAAAACTGCATTGTATACTATCTTAATCATTATACTGGACATGAGATGACGAAGTATCTTGAGCAGCACTTTATACCTCCACTTAGAACTTGATTAGTCACGAACAATAGAATCATTATAAATCAATACAACAAAACATCTTGATCAATAAATGCCTAGCAGCACCAGACAGCAGCCGTGTACCTTTTTCGACTCCACGGAGTCCCTGATGGACTTTTGTTTACTTTTGTTAATAATTTGACCGCAACCTTTCTTTCTCGAAACACAAATCCTACTGTACTTCATTACAGTATTAAGATAATATAAAGCAAATCATGTGAATATATGACTACGAAATAGATCTATAGATTTGTCCATAATATTTAATACCGTATTGATGGTTTTGAATTTTGTATATTGAATTTTAATGTGAAGCGTTTACTCTTCCCCCTCGGCAATTAATTAGAAAGTTAGATTAATGACAATAATTGCCAAATGACGTAGTAGATATAGATGTTCAATGTTGTAGAGTGATTTCAAGAGTAGTGGTCCACAGGGGTCCGAAAAAGCCGTACAGGCACTTGGGTCCTTATCCTTGTCACTAGTCCCAATTGGATTCACTTTACACAAAACATGAACGTTTACAATTTAGACGTACACATTGGCACGATATTTATTAGAAAGCAAACAGTATAAAATAATACGTGCGTGCGCGGCTTGAGCCGCGCCGCATAACAATTTATGCGTTTAGGGGCTGGAGTAGCGTGTTTACAGATTAATGAATTTTGCATTGTAAATATTTAAAGTTGACGATATATTATGATTTAATAGTAAATTTTTCAAAGCTGGCTTTGGACTTAGGTAAAATAATAACGTATTTATTTAAAAGAAAAAACCACGGATAGTTGTAAATTTACATAGTCGTATAACTATAATCAAGTTAATCCTGTTTTCAAGAATGCGCGGCTTTGGCGGCCAGTTATTGACTTGTACATAAAATTGAATTTTAAATAGAAATGTGAATGTATTAAAATTTAAAACTTTCAAAACGGAGGCTTATAAATATTATTATACTATGATTGTAAAATAAAGGATAAAATTTTAAATTTGTTTCACTAAAATTTGTTTCACTATACTATGTATGTAATAGGTCTGATTCGAAATTAGCGTACAAAATACAATGATATAGTTTACGTTTACAATCCCACCGCTTACTCATAAAACAAAAACGTATAAGCATGTAGGAAAACGTTGTCATACGTTGTATGACCCGCCACACACGACACAGGAGGAGCAAAGTGCAAAGAAACTGTCACTAACTGCTACAAACTGCCACAAACTGCCACAAACTGCCACTAACTGCCACAAACTGCCACTAACTGTTACAAACTGCCACTAACTGCTACAAACTGCCACTAACTGCCACTGGCACTAACTGCCACTAACTGCTACAATCGCGCCCACGCACTGCGCGCGCAGTTTGCAGCAGTTAGTGGCAGTTTGTAGCAGTTAGTGGCAGTTTGTAGCAGTTAGTGGCAGTTTGTGGCAGTTAGTGGCAGTTTTCTGCAGTTGCGCCGAGCCTTTTAGCAATTTGTCTTTGGCGCCTTACAGTTACATGCCACATGACTTATTGACATTGTATAATTGGTCTAAAAACAATTTTGTATTATTAGAAAAATATATGAATTTGGGACAAAATAATTTACTATCGAAGGAAACAAATATTAACTTTTTGACAAGAAAAGCGATTACCAACTAGTACTACAGTTACACAAACACTGCATGGCAATACGATTACAAATTGTTTAAATGTTAAATCCGGGTATCGCTATTAGTATTGTGCTATTGTGCCAAAATTACAATATTATATGGTCAATCGTAATCATTTGCAATTTGGAAGACTCCTCTGCTGATATGTAAACGACTCCTTATACTAACTTGATTGTAGCAAACCGCGTGATGTTTATTGATCATCAGTTCGATAGGACGGTAGTTATGAGAAAAGCTACAAAACTACAATTTCCATTACCAAAGTTTTAGAACTAAACGCTTGATTGAGGGTTCAGAACTTTATTTGAATAACAGGGCCTCCCACGGATTGAACAGTTTTGTGCGGAGAAAGAAGTGAAGAGAGTACGAAGCCAAAGAGTTCTCCGACAATTATTCCAGCCAGCCTCGCCGCAGCAACGCCAACAGCAAGCAGGGACTTATCCATGCAACATATATAACTATAAGTATATACAACGCTGACCCAGAATGGACATGCCACGGTACCACTATAATATTTGCTTCGATTCTCCGTGATACTGATAGCACTAGCAGTAGCAGAATTTGCTGCTTGTAATTCCTGGGCGTTGCTGAACCTGTCATTCCGCCCTATCTGCTATAGACATATTTTTAATCGCCATAATATGTTCAATGTTAAATCAATGTGTTTAACTTAATAAATGCAAAAGCCTGAGCGAGGTTACCCAGGTAAATTAATCTTTGCAAGTTGAATTTGCGTTTCTGAAACTACTCTCTGCACTGGTAATTGTATTTAAAAGGGAACACAAAATGATGTACGTGACCAAAATTATTCCCCGCGCGACGCGATAAGATTCTCTTTCGGCATTCAGTTTCAGTTAATTCTGGGTAATTCGCGCGTAAAATCATATTGGCACGTGTGCGTTCCATGTTCTCAGAATTAGGCAACGGTAAGTTTATAATCTTTAACTTTAACTGTTTGGAAACAGGTGTTGTTATTTTATGCTGGGAATCCCAAAAAGTGCTTGATCGGCCAGTTCATCATTGTGTCTCGCTAAATACTTGGCTAGTTTCATTATGCTTCGACTAATCATCACTGTTGGCTTGGGGATGGTATTCAACTGTTGAGGGCCTACTGTAACAGCCATTAATACGCTTATAGTTTTCAGACAGCTACTAACCGATATCCAATGGGTCTCAGCCATAGAACAATACAGGCTCAATTCGGTGGCTCGGAAAAGTATAATCTATAATATTGAAAGGTTCATGCGCAAATTTACCTAGTTTAGCCGTCATTGATTAGGTACAGACCGACGGAATTGCTCATCAGCAGATCTTGCGCTTCCGCTGCTGTATCGGACGTCTGTGATCAAAGCAGTAAAGTCGACCTCCCATAAATTGACAACAGGATGTCCCCTGATTCTCCTAGGTTTCTGGATAGAAGTCGACTATTTATGCTCAATTCTCGAGCCGATAATAGTCTTGCTTAGATTTTCAGACAATAGTCTTAAGATTCCTGTTGGTTTCATCGGTGTAATTTATTACAAATATTATCTGTTCACCTTAAAGTTAGCAAATTTTGCTTTTCGCAATTGAAACTATAAAAGCGATATGATTAGTCTTGCCAACAAAAGGTGGCTCGAGCTCCATTCCCCCCTACATAAACATTCAGTAGGGTTTTGTGTTCACCCGGCTTATATATCAGGGATATGATAAACACACGAATCAGGATCTCTGGAAGGAGTTTCTAGATGTCATGGACACGTGGTGTGACGGCGCAACAAAGAAGAAGATACTTTAATTTCGCAGTACACGTTCTACCGAGAGAAAAGAGGCTTATTCTCTACTGACGCTGCCTCAAGTTTTAGCCAAGATTCTGACGGTCCAGTCTCTTGGTGGAGCAACTTCGGTTGAGAGGTACCCGAACTACAGAGTTTTTCAATGAAAGCGCTGTCGCAATCGACATCAGCCTCACCCTGTGAGACGAATTGGAGCTTGTACGACTGGGTGATAAACAAAAAAAGAAACCGCCTCACAGTTAACAAGCAGCGAGACCTTATTAATATTATTATTTATGTTATTATATTTATGTTATTTTACCAAAACCCATAATCATGGGTAGAGTGGACCGCTGCCAGTGTCTCTCTTTCCCAAACAAAAGGAAATGATATTAATTTGATTGACCGTTCTCAAATGCAAAATGATACCGAGAATGAAATCGGTCGCTCGCTTTTCCCATTCATTCACGGCTTACGAATTGTATAAATAAGTTTCGATTGATTACATCAATCAGATGCTGTAAAAAATCTCTTTGGGTTGCGTTCGGGTCGATACCTAGTATTTCGGGGTAAGGCATAGATGCGGAGTTCGTTGATTTTTGGCGTAGAGTTCGTGGAGTTCGTTCAAAATTTGGAGTTCGTTAGAGTTCGTTGGAGTTCGTTAGTCAATTTTTCAAAAAAAAACATGGAAAATGTTTTTTAAAAAAAGTAATCAGCTCAGGATTTCTCGCATGATCTCAGATATTTATTGGGGTAAAAATAAAGAATAAAACTATAATATTTTTGTATAAATAAATAAATAACGAGCAATACAGAATGTTAAATTTTACTAACTTTCAGCAGACATAACATCGGAAATATACTTCAACAGACTTGTTGAAGCATGTTTATGGGAACAGCGAACTTCCTGTTTTGACTTACAATAACGTAGATTTCCATGAACAGTCCTTGTACTGTGAAATGTACAGTGTACACGCGACGCGTGGTAGAAGTTTCGAGTACCAATATATTTAGTTGTTTTACAATCGTATTTTTTTTTTTTTTTTTTTTTTAAGAGAGGCTGGGCCAAGATAGCCCACGAGAGGATAGCATTGAGATGCTCTGCCTACCTCTGGGTTGTGGCAACCTTGGG